TCTTCATTTAAGTGAAAATTAAAAAGAAAAAAGAAAAATTGTAGTACAAGAAGTCACAGTGCTGAAGGCCAAAATGGACAGTACGCATAAAAACTTTCTTAATACTGCAGCTTTTACTGCTTCATTAATATTTTTTATGTTTTTGCAAAATTCTGTTCTCGATAGTAAAAATGCTATAAATTATTCGCTTAAAAATTTGCTAAATTAAATGTATGCATTAATTAATTAAAATTAATTATTATTATAATTGTTTTCTTTTTAATTATTTAAGTATGCATGATTGTCGGAGATATTTTGTTCACAATTGTTGTGCGCGTATGTGTGCATAAATGTGTGTAAGTGTGACTGTGTGTTCTTCGAGTGTATTTCGTGTCTGAAAGTGCAATAATTTTTGCTATTTTAAATATAATTTTTTTTTTGTCAATTTTTGTTTACTTTTTTTAGCTTTACAATTTTTATTGCTTAAAACTATATAAAAATGAAGGTAGTCTATATAACTACACACATACGATTTTTTTTATAAGTTTTGAATATTTTCTTCTATTATTTTTTTGTTTTAGTGTTATTTTTAGTATTAATTTTTTTAGGTTCTTTTTTTTTTGTTTTGTAAAGCCAACATTTAATGCTCTATTTTAACGTCATTTCGACAATTGCTTAAGTCTTTTAGTCTACGAATTTACATTAACAATTAACCTATGTGAAGTACTGATTTCTTTGGTTTTTTAATAAATTTTAATTTTATTTTTTCAAATTTGCTTCTTGTTAATTTCTTTTTAGTTTAAATTAAATAAAAATCTTTTGTATATTTAGCAACTATTACGACCTTTTAACACTAATACATTTACAATTACACTAACATCGACAAATACATTTATGAATGAACATTTACCACTTAACACTACAAATTTCAAAAATGGCGGATTTTTTCAAAACGTCTGCTGGCTTTGAGTCTTCAAGTCTAGGAAGAGTTTTGAGATTAACAAACATTCATTTTTGTTACTAAGCATATTGGAAGTATTTATTTTTACTAATTTATTTGAAATTTTTTTAAGCAAATTTTCTCATTCAATTTAATTTATTTAATTAAAATTTTGAAAAAATGCAAACTTTTCAAATTTACTTTAAATTATCAGAAATAAAATGTATTTATTTTGGACTGAGATTAAGTTGATGTTCGGGGTATACAGACATATAACTATTAATAAAAGTAAGCCATCATTTGGAATTGGCTTACAAATTTTTAAAATTGAAAATACTTTTTATTATAATTAAAAAACATCTACATTTAGTAAAGAATTTATATCAATTTTTCCCCACAAAGTTTTTTTTTATAAAATTGATGAAAATATTGACCACACATTCATTAAAAAACCAATCATATAAATTTATTTCTTCATAATTCTTTTTTTTTTGTTAAAATTTGGTTCCTCTAATATACTAATATAGATTATTTTACCTTCTTGAGTGGTTGACAATATATCAAGCTTAAAATATTTACAAGTATTCCCCAATCGTCTTATCAAATCTTGATCCTTAACTTTTATACAAAGTAAATATATATCAATACTTCAAATTTCATAATAAAAAAGATTTTGACATTTTTCGATGTCTTATCTTATCTTCTTCTTCTTCTTGAGTTAGTGCATTACGCACTTTTACTCTATAATGACTGGGGGGTTAATCACTACCCCACACTAGGCTTTAACTAGGCTAAAAAATCATATCATTTATTTGTCTTTTAGTTGATGACGGACCTTAAATCAGCATATCTTCCTGAGAATGGCGGGGTTAAGTAGCGTATCAACTTTAGTGAATAATTTTAAAGCTCTGTCTCTGATATATTTTTTCACTGAGTCAATCCTAAGATCTCTATGTATGTCCGTAGATCGATGTGCAACAATTATTAGGAAATGTATTTACTATGCATATTAAGTGAAAGTAGAAGAGAAGTAAACTAAGGTCATGTTTGAATGCTTATCAATTACTAGGGAACGGATTCACTATTCACACCCAGTGATAGTATGAAAAGTATGTCTTCAAAGTATATTACGAAGAGTACTGTACGATAGTACTGTTCCCATCTAGTGATAGTACGAATAATGTGATTCTATTTTGTCATTGCCTACCAAATTCACAATTTTTCGGCATTTTTTATTTTTTTTAATTTTTATTAGGGAACAGTTTTACTATTCACATCCAGTCATGGTACGAAAAGTATATCACTGGAGTACATTATGAAAAGAATAGTACGATAATAATATTTACATCCAGTGATAGTACGAATCGAGTGAAATGTGATTAGTTTATTTATACCCTACCAATTATTAGTGAACAAATTCACTATCCAGTGATGGTACGAGGGAAGTTGGTAGAAAATAGATATTGCCGTTTTTCAATGAGTGACCATTATTAGGGAACAAATTTATAATTCACATCCAGTAATAATATAAACGGTGTGAACAACAGTCAAATTTAAATAATAGCCAGTGTTTAACAATTACTAGGGAATGTATACACTATTCACATCCAGTGGTGGTGTAAGGAAATTAGACAAGGAACACTAACGGAAATTTTTATTTATTTAACTTTTATTAGGGAATAGTTTTACTATTCACATCCAGTGATAGTACGAGGGGAATGAACTGTGATTAGTTTTTGTCAATGCTTACATATTAGTAGAGAATTAATTCCCTGTTTACATTTAGTGATAATATGACGAAAGTTGGCAGGGAACTCATTTTATAATTTTTGCATAAGTAATATTATCAAGAAATAAATTCATTACTTGCAACCAGTAATGGTAAGTGAAGAGTATGCAAAGGGAACATTCTATAATTTTTGGGTGTGTAACAATTATAAGAGAACGAATTTATTAATTTTATTACTAAATTCCAGTGATATATGTAGAGTGTAAACAAGTAATAGATTTTGACAATTTCTAATGTCTAGCAATGATTTGGGAAATAATTCATTAAATTCAATATTCAAAAATAGGTTAGCAATTCAACTATAGTTAGCATTACAACTACCTATAGTAGTTCAGTTGTGTTAGTAAGTAACCGTAACCGAACAAAAGACAACGAAACAAATAAAAGGAAATGTATATTTCCGGTAAAGTTTGCTAATGTCAGATGGAGGTATGGAGTAGTAGGTGGCGTATCCTTAACTAACGCAGATCAAAAACGGATAGCCGTATACAATATTATTAAAAGTCTCACCTATTTATCATCTATAGAACCACATTATTGAGATAGCAGCTTATATTGATACAATATATAGATGATGTAGTGTCAATATATATATTGATATATTTATGTAGACTTAGCATCTACATATAGATGGTAGATGCTACGTTGACACATTTAATAACCTTCCAATAGCATCTATCTTTGTTGTATTGAAGAGACAACTCTTATGTTAGTTATAAGAAGTAATCAGCTTTTTAGTCTGGCGATTATATTATCGAGATTAGGTAAATTTTTTAGAAAATTGGAAATTGGAAAGAATTATGTATAATAAAATGTCATATAAACAAATTATGTTAAAATAAATAACCTTTATGGGTAACGTACATAGAATATAATATGAATATATATAAACGTTTTAAGACTTAACAATTTTGGGAATACTCATGAAGATAAACAGAGTAGCGGTGATAATATATAGTAAATAATGGGAAATATAGAAAAAGAAATTTTATTTATATGTATTATATTTTTAAAATTATTTTTTTTGTTTTGAATTTAATATTTATTATTTACCAGATTTGTTTGTGAGGAGTAGATCATTGAGACCTAATCTTGAGATTGTATCAGAATGATATTGGTTCTTTAAAAGCCATTCATTGTTAAAAATTTTGATTTATTAAAATAATTTTTATTTATAAATTTTAAATATACTCAATTATTATTTTTTATTTAATATTGAGTTATTTTTGAAAGTACTAAACACTTTTCCTACACCAACTTAGTTTTAAATTATTATTCATATTATCTTGATATTTTTGAAATTTGTTTGGAACTATGGCGGGCGATTTGTCTTGGCATCAGTACGGGTGTGCACGGGAAGTTTTTATTTAATTTCAACTCTTTGTTTTTTTATAATTTTTAACTTCACAATTATTTATAGGAATTTTAAATTTCTCATTTTAAAACTACATTTTATAAATTTGACAATTTCTTTAGGTGTATATATTGTTTTATAAATCAACATAGAACATTTCCAGCATGTTCCATTTTAAATGTTTTACAATTTAAATATATATAATTTTTATATTCTTATTTTTGGTTACGTAAAAATGTTATAAAATAAAAAATCGAAAAATTATATCAAAAATTTCATAATACTTCAATTCGACATCTCAAAAAAAATGTTTACAATTGTTGATTAAATGTTGTTGTTCTTTTTGTCCTTCTTGCTTAAAACAATTTTTGGCAGATTGTGTTTTTCTCAATAATTAATTTGTATATGTATATAATATATGTTTCTTAATACTATACGGATTTTACTAAATAAACGCGCTGATTTTCATAAATTTTTCTAAACGAAACTGCACATTTTGTGATTTAACACAGAATTTTTAGATGTCAAAATAAATCGTTAATGCCGACGATTTTCGCAATCAAAAGTTTTTTTTTCGTGTATATTTTTGTTTTTTTAACTCTCTTTGGACTACTTTGCGCTATGATTGGTTACTTTAAACTTAGTTTTTAGTTTTTTTTTATTCAACTACGTGTACTTACACAACGACTTATATATTTCTAAAAAAATCTTTGCTTAATTGAAACTATATATGCATTTTAGCCAACTTCTCTTCTACGTGATGATCTATCGATTAATGATTTCAAATTATTTAATAAAAAAATTAATTTTGTGTATATATAAAATATATATAAAATCTACAAAATTATAAAAAATTATTTAAAATATATGTCAATATTGTCATTCGATATAATATAGAAATAAAATAATATTTATATATTTTAAAACACTTAGTTCATGTTTTGTTTATTTTTAACGCCTTCGATCCTTTATGCATATATAGTTTTATTCTATATTAAGGGTGGGGTAGTTCACTTAGCAGGTTCATATACTCTCAACAACAGTTTAGAGTGCAAAAATGGCTTTTCTTTCAAATTTAAAATATAAAATCGCCACAATCCATAGCATAATCAAAATCTTCTCCACCAAGATCTTCAACTCCAGTTGAATGAAAATCAAAACCACCAATGTCAGTGTGATAAACAGCACCACTACAACCGGTGTCTATTAAATTAGTGCAATGAGTTGTGGGCAGCGCATGTAAAGTGAATGTATCTTCACATTGCGACCAGGTTAAACCTTATAAATAATTTAACATATATATTAAACATTAATATGTATTTAAAAAACTTGTTATGGTGTGCAACTAATAATGTTATTTACCTCCACTCCAAACTCCATTTGGCAAAGTAGCCCAACCCCAACCATGTCCCCACGGCAATACACAAGCCAAGGAGGCTTTTGAATCAGGTTTTTTGCTGAGTATGGCAACAGCTGCATCACTCTTTACCAAAGGATTTTGACTGAACAATGCTCGATGACTTGCCAATGCTGGATGGGAACTATTATTAGACAAAGCTTTTCGTTGCTTAACTTCGGAAGACGTAGCCGCTGTAAGAAAAATGCACTAAATTAAATTCATATAAAAAATGATTTAAAAATCATTTTTACAAAAGAAAAATTGAAAGAATAGGATATTATCTATTTCGGAAAACAGTACTTCGAATAGCAATTATTTCTATTTGAATGGAAAGGAAAGATATCATTCTTATTCCTTACAAGTATTTATTGTCACTTGACAGGACTATTTTTTTTTGTAATATGACATTTTTGTATCTGTTCGTATCTTTACATTTACATTCAGCTTTATTCATTCATTTTTTCATCAGATACTCTAAAAAGTTTCTGTTTTGTCTTTGCAATGTGAGACTTATTATCCTTAATTATTTGTTAATTATCACAGAAAAAATATGTTGTTGAGAATATGAAAGGGAACGTAAAAGTTTTAATAAATGATAATTTTTGTATTTAATTGATACTGAGTAATAAATTTACATAGTAGTTCTTTATAGATATTATCGAGAATTTTTATCTAATTATCTAATTAATAAATATTATTTAAAAATAATTATATTTTATTTTTATATATTATTTTTAAAAAATAAAATTGTTTATAGATAATTTTATTTTTCCTATATATATAACTATATATTAAATTATTATATTTAAGAATTTTTTATATCGTCTGCATAACCAAGGGATTAAAGTCTGCATGTTGAAGATAAGGATTTTGACTAGTTTTCGCATTTGACTAATTTGACACTTTCAGATTTCAGATGCTCCATAGCAAAAATTTCTTAAGTCTGATATTTCAAACATGTGCAGTAATTAATTAATCTTACTTTCCTTGGCAAAGGTATACTGTATATATATACTATATACTATATATATACTATGTATATATATAGTCTATATATATGTATATATATATATATATATTTACTATGTATATATATAGTCATATGAGGTGAACCCACTTGACAACAGTATACCAACAACAGTATAACAGTATATATATATATATATATATATATATATATATACTGTTATATATAAATATATATATATATATATATATATAATATATATATATATATAATATATATATTATATATAATATATATGTATATATATGTAAATATATAAAGGTATACTGTTGTCAAGTGGGTTTACCTCATATGACTATATATATACATAGTAAATATATATATATATATATATACATATATATAGACTATATATATACATAGTATATATATAGTATATAGTATATATATACAGTATACCTTTGCCAAGGAAAGTGAGATTAATTAATTACTGCACGTGTATATATATATATATATATATATATTTATTTATTTATTTATTTGTATATATGTATATATATGCAAAGTCTGCATATATACATATATATATATATATATGCACACATCAAAATTTTTTTAAATACCATAGAACGTGACTATTATTTTAAGTATCTATTTGTTTTTTTTTGATACTATTTAGTGCTACATGATATGGGAAAAACATTTTTTATAAATATTTCCAACATTTTATCCATTATATCATGGCTGTCCAAAGCATTATGTCAGGGCTGCATGCGACCCGCGACATGTTTTCTAATCTAATCTACGCAAATTTTCCTTGGGTATATTTTGTTGTTATATTATTTTATTTTTATGGCATTCGTATTTCTATGAAAGTGGGTTTTCTACTATGAGTTTTATAAAATCAAAATGCAGATCATCGGTCTTCACCTGGCCTGGCAACAACTAATATTAATAATATTAATTATAATAGAATTGTAAGAGATGAATTAATGAAGAATTGAGATAATTAAATTTAAGAGTATTGCCGTATTTTTATTTCTTTCTAAAAAAGAAAGCATCAACGTCTTAAATTTGTTTCTGCGGCCTTCCAATCTATACAGTGATTTATATTGGCCTGCAATCGTATCAGGACTGGAGAGCCCTACATTATATGATTGTATTGGCAATTAGTACAAGTACAATTGCCTTTCATTTTATAAGTCTAATAACTGTAAATTTAGTTTGCTTATTAATACATAACATGAAAATTAATGAACTTCATTAATTAAAACATTTTAACATTGTTAAATGATTTAAACTATTTATATGAATTTTATCTTCATTATATGAAATATCTTCACAAGTGTTATATACTTCTCATACAAAACAGTTTAAAACATATATATATGTATCATGTTGGTTTATACAGATAGTATCTTTCAGGCCCTATGCTCCACTTAGGAGAAAAAGATGGCAGTACCATAAGTAAGTACGTAAGTATCTTTCACACCACTTTCTGTCCAATTATTTATGTGAATGATATTGGGTCTCATTGAATTCGTTGGTACAAGTTGTTTAAAAATAAGATTAAATACAAATTATGATATTAAAATTGTGAGCAAAGATTAATATAAAAGGACATCTTGTACATGTCCTAGTGAAGTAAAATAAGCAAAAATTTCTACCCAAAAATAAATTTAATTTTCTAACCAATAATAAAATTAAAATGAAAATTCATTTCTCCACACACAATGTCTTTTTCTCTTCTAGTTAAATCAGTTTAAATTACACGTATATGATATATTTTTATGGATATACGAGTACGCATAGCCATAGTCATCTCGTAGATATGGTAGTACCAGTACATACAAGTATGTTACTTAATGGAACAAAGTACTATTAGTATAATTTCGTTCATGCACTCATGTCGGTAATTGAATTTTCATAATATACTTACGTCGTATGCGCACCAACGGCCTACGTAACACATTCATTAGGTGTGGCTTATCAACGACTAGTTCTATCTGTGGTGGTGGTGGTAGCTGGAACGAAAAATGCGGCCAACAATTAAAATCAAACTTCGACACATACATAAAAGCACACAAATGTGCATTGTTAGATACATTCCAAAACAAAGATCAATATTTCACTTACAGTTTTTGTGATAGCATCAATCCATTCACTGCAATTACAATAACAACAAGTAGGAGAACAAAAATAAAAAAATGGAAAGTGTACAACAATGTTAACAAGGACATCAATGCTTCATATTACAACGCGAAAGTGCAAATGTTTTATTACCTAACTTCCTGTTCAGATTTCGCCAGCATCCAATAGACTTTTGAACGTTTTCTGCGTGAACCTAATGCAATCAATTGTGAAACGCTACAACCTTCTGGCAATGGAGGACGACGCGGAATTTGGCCAGTCCAATGTGCAATGGCAAGCATTTCCGGTGCTTCCTTAACTAGTATTTTACCAGCAGGAGAGGACCTGCCTGGTTCCTGAAGTTAAAATATTTAATATATAGTTTATTGAAATGACGTTACTAAGTATATTTTGAGTAGAACTTACTGTAAACCAGGCCATAGTAGAATCGTCATATAAAACAACCCATTCTTCTGACCAGCGATTCCAGAGAAGTTGCTCTATTAATATTTAAATAAGAATTAATGTTATGTATCTAATATTTTTACTGGATTTAAAACTATTATTATTATGTTAATATATTTAGTAAATGGGAATGGAAATAGATAATTAATTTCAAATTTATGATATCGTTTCAATATAACACAGCAAGTGAATTTGTTAATAAGCTTTCACAGCAAATTAACAAAACTCCAATAAAATGCGCGAACATACGAGTCAAGTACGGTTTTGGGTCAATTAGTTAAGGTGCGCTGACTCTGAGCTTTAAATTTGGCAGGGCACGAGTTCATTCCTTAGTCCTTGCAGTCTCAAAAAATTATTTACGAATAATTATATACAAAAAATATTTCCAAGACCACTGATAATAGGTATATAACAATACTCGAAACAGCTGCATGGTCAGCCAATTAATTAAAGTTATATAAAAGCATTTTTGTTGTTGTAGTTCACTACTTTTCCAAAATTTCTTTATAATTAATTTCTTATAACTAAACCTTTAACTTTTATTATTATTATATAAATAATATGTTTGGGAACTATAAGAAAAAAGATTTTACCGTATGAAACCATTAATTATATACTATACATTATGCTTCAATACCTTTTAGATCGAAATACCGAGTCTAACGATCTTTCAACATTTGGATACTTTTTAAACAATACGATTTATCAAGTCCTCTAAAATATACCTCAATTTTTTATTCTACTTTATCATGTGATGGAAATCTCTTTTCCTGGAATAATATTTTCAAACTTGAAAACACATAATAGTCACTGGGAGCCAAATCTGGAGAATAATGTGGGTGAGAAAGCAATTCGTACCGTAATTGATTTCAATTTTTTCATAGTTTTCATTGACCTGTGAAAGGTGTGTTATCCTGCAAAAACAAAAGTTTTTTCTTCGACAAATGTGGTAGTTTTTTCTTATTCTCCTTATTCAATCGATCCAATAATATATAGTAATCTGATATTATTTTGCCTTATTCCAATTAGTCTATAAAAATTTTATTTCTATTTAAACCCCAAAAGACGGAAGCCAAAACTTTTCCTGCTAATTGTTGCGTTCGTGGTCGTTTGGGAGCTGTACTCCCAGACTCTACCCATATTCTGGTTTGTTGTTTTCACTGAGATGTGAAGTAATCACAGGATGAAGTAGTTTCATCAATTGTCACTACTCGGCGCTCACAGTTGGCGCAATATACCGATGCGTGTGTGAAGAACACCGTGGTGTGGAGCCTTCACAGCAGGAATCCACGTAAAATTCTGGACCTTTATGTCAGCTATATTGTGCATAAACATTTTCAAAGCAAATTCAGCACCCATCAGCTTTTTCATACCCAAATATTGTTGTAAAATATTCAATACACGTTCATATGATATATTTGCCATCTATACTATCTAACGCAATTTAATTTTTGAATCATCCAACAAAATATCGTGAAGTTTTCAATGTTTTTTTCAGTTGTGATCTGTTTTGGACGACCCGGACGCTCTTCATCAAAAACACTCGTACGACCACATTTAAATTCAATTTTTCAATATTTTATTGTTGTTAACGATGGTGGCAGATTGCCGTAAGCAGAATAGTTTTCCAATTGAATTGCATCATTGTTCATTCCTTTTAAATGGAAGAATATTATTACTGAACGATATTCAATTTTTTCCATTTTATAAAAAATCCCCAAGGTGCACGCACTATCTTAATTATTTGCAAAATGCTAACCAAACATCTGATAAAGTCGAAAGTTTCACAGATAACATTTAATACTTGCCCGATACACAAAATATAATTGATTTTGTTCTGGCGTTGCCACCTATTGTGAAGTCAGGTAATTATCAATACATAAGTAAATAAAAGCAATACTTCAGTACTATATTGTACTATAGTATTGTACTAATATTGTACTATATATGTATCAATAAAGTTGATTTATTGTATGAGATTTGTATTAAGTAGACTAAATGGTTTATTGCGACTTTGCAGAATGACGCTGAGCAATACCCGTAGCTCCGTCAAGGTAGGATCGAGTCTCTCTGAACCTTTTGATACCGTGCGAGGCTTTAGACAAGATGATTCCTTATCATGTGACCTCTTCAATTTCGTCATGGAAGTGATCATGCGCAGGGCAGGTGTTCATCGTAATGGAACAATATTCTACAAATGTGTCCAGCTCCTTGCTTACGCCGACGTAAGATCTTTGGTCCTCTACAAGTTGGCGACGAATACCGCATTAGAATGAACCACGAGCTGTACGAGCTTTATCACGACATTGATATAATTCAGCGCATTAACATTCAGCGGCTTCGCTGGCTTGGTCATGTCGTGTTAATGGATGAAGACGCTCCGGCGAAAAAGGAGTTTCAAGCAGTAGTTGGCGGAAGAAGACGTAGAGGTAGACCGTTGCTCCGGTGGAGTGATCAAGTTGAGGGAGCACTAACTGGACTTGATATACGAGACTGGAGAAGGCGCGCACGCAGCAGAGGCGAGTGGGGAGACATGCTGCGTCAGGCCGAAACTCGGTAACGGGTTGTTATGGCCACATAAGTAAGTAAGTAAGTAAATGGTTTATTGAGAGCTGAGGTTTTTGGGTCTCGCAGATATTGTGTGGCATTACAACGGGTCAATACGACTACCGATGTATAAATGTATAGTATCTTAACAATTGATAATTGATGTATAAACTTAATAACATATTAGAGCCATGTTATATAGGCAATCATATGACGAATGATCACGGCAATTTTATACTTTCTTTGCTCATGATCACAAGGCATTTTATGCACAGAGTCATATCACAATCGTCAATTTGCTAGCTTTACTACTACTTTGGTACGTTTTTATTCCGCCTAATTTTAAAGAGTAATAATTTTTGTATTGCATGTCCAAAAATACTCATGTATTTAGGCACGCATTCTAGTTTTTATTACTGAGCAATACTATTTTGGACAACGTGACTAGGCACAGAAAATCTGTTCACCGTAACCAACTTCAATTTTCTGTCTCAATTGACGAAATTTATGTTTTCCTATAATTTAAAATTTTTTATTTTACATTAAAAACAACAACAATTTCACAATTGAAGTGATTATGACTGTCTACAAGACATAGCCTTCATCGATATCGTGGTCTAACACTGTTTCGAGAACAAACCAGAACTGTCATCGAAGACATTATATATTTAGGTTAAAGTTTTCTATATTAATAAGATTATTAAAAGTAGTAATAATACAAAATGTTTAAAGTTAATTAAATGAGTTATTTTACTTACAGTAAAAAATTACTGTATAAGTGATGTTTCCGTAGTCGACATACCTATTTCGAATTTGAATTTTTTTCAGTGATAAAGCTTTTCGCATTATGAATATATCAACAATTAAAATTGATAAATATAACAACAAACTACTCCAACAATCATCAGTAGGAGTGAACATCTACAACCAAATATCAAAATTTTGAAAATACGGAAAATGTGGCATAAACCGTCAATTCTTATTGATATAGCAATAAGATGATGACATTCTTTTTTTTTTGATGATGAAGTTGAAGATATGAATGTGGAAGTTATGCAATTTAACTGGTGCCACCAGTCATACACATCCTATTCGGGTGTGAGAAGTTTGTCTGATCTGTAAATTCATGTTTTGATGATGTGAATCAGCTATCAAGAATCTGTAAGTTTTTACCAGTGGACTTTTTTGCTGTGGGTTACGCGAAAAATCTCATATTAGCAGACAATCATCTAGCTCTCGATGCTTTAAAAACAAATATCCGTTCATTTTTGGCCAAGTTATGTGCAGAAAGATCAAAAATTCTGAAACAAAGCATGAGGAGATTATTCAAAAATACAGATATGTCTATATATTATAGATAGATCTATAAATTAACACAATAAGAAAGTACGTCGGAATTACAGTTATTTATATAGTTCTACAAATTAACATCATAGAAAGCGAAGTTATTAAAGACAGAGCATGAAACCATAAAAAAAATATCTCTAAAATTGATGAGCACTCAAACCCTATAAATACAACATTGAAATATCTAAATAATTATATCAATGAACAACTGACTGTATGCCGACATCTTAACACTCATAAATGATAAAAAAATTAATACAGTATTCCAATACATCTTAAATGAGGTATGAATAAATGTCGACTTATATTCGTAAGTAAGAATAAAAGTTCTCAGGAAGACTACTTCAAAAAAACCACTTAATCATTGGTAATATATAAGTTAAATCACTATATCTCCATTTGTGGTAAAAAGTATATATAGTATATAGTAGCGATCTTGACAACTTATTAAGTAAATATTTATAATAATTTTTAGTACAATATGTGACATTGTCACAGGAATGACTTTTTCAATTTATCATAAGTAGACATAAAGTTGATCAGAAAATTAATTCTATTAATTAAAATGTTTCCTTCTTAAATAAAGAAGTTTGGTGATTCTCTGTAGTGGCCGCGAAGCCCTAAAAATAGTTTTCATAAAAGTAATATAATCTTTATCGCAGCAGTTAAGTTGTATTCCAATGGGTTGCTTTTTGCCAGTTTTTGTAGAAAACTGTAAGCAAAAAATTGCCTCTTTATCTGTAAGGAACTGCTGTGTCATGTCAGTGTGAATTGCACTTATGCTGATTTAGCAAATTGTCACAAAATCCTGCAAAATTGTGAAAAAAAATGATGAAGGGCCATTTGAAGGTAGTTTCGAAAGCATAATTGCACAAGTAGTGAAAGTAAAATGAATGAAATGCAACTAAATGGCGGAACCGTAGATGAGAAGGGCTTTCGCGAAATTTGCTTCAGTTGTCAGTTTTGAACGCCTTACAATCAAATAATTTAAGGTGAAATATAAGATGCGGACAAAGCTAGCCATAAATAATTCACACATAAGTTAGAAAATAACTGCAGAGCAATTGCCAAGTAGCAATCAGGGTCTTTAGTTAAGCAACAGATTCAGATATTCGAAAATCAATAAAGAAATCGTTGTCTAAATTTAAATATACGGTAAAATTTTAAGAGATAAAGTGGTAGTGATAAAAAAGTTATATCAGATCGAAATAAAAGGTGTAGTGAAAAGAAAACCATTATTTTTGCATAAAATTGAAGGCTTGTTTTTCATAGTTAGAATGATCCGATTTAAATCAAATATGTGCCCTTTTGTTCGATAACTTGTTACCATTTTAAAGATAATGTCATTATGCCTCTCTCTCTCAATTTTCACAAGCCTCTCTTGAAGCAAATTGCACAGATGGTAATCACTTAGTGCCAAGACTGTACTATAAGGCGGATGCATAAAAACTTACCGATCAGTCAATCAGGTTGATCAGGTTTTGGATAGTCATTGATGTCGTCAACTATGTGTGTGGCCTGGCATTGTCCTGATGAAACACAATTCCTCTCCTATTGCCCAAAACTGTCCCTTTCTGGGCAGGGCAATTGCTTCTTTCAGACAGTTTATTTGTTGGCAGTATAGTACCAAGTAAAGAGTTTTACTGTAGAGGAGCAGCTCATAGTAGAGATTCCCTTCCAATCTCACCAAACACTCATCACAACCGTTTCAGCGGGCTCACTGCGATTCATCCACAACCGTTTTCGCAGTTTTTAGATTTTTAAAAATTATACTCAATACCAACATCTGTATTCAACCAGTATCCCATGCTTCTATGTGACGTAGAAACACAAAATTATGATACTATTAGATATTATCTGTTGTGATTAGGAGGAAAAACACACGCTCGACCGGCAAAACCAACAGTCTACACATCACATTCCTATATATGTGGGTAAGGCATGTTTATAAAACCAGACCGGAAGTGGTAAGAAATACATTTTTTTAAATATATGTCATACTCGTATGTCAAGCATAGATAACAATTATATCACAAGCATTACCACAACTAATATTAATATTCAGTTAATATATTAATATACTGTCATTAGAAAAAGATATAGTTCCTCCACTTCTCCAATAAAATGATCATGTTCTGAAGACATGCAAATAGTTCAAGATTTTTCAGATAGTGTTTTTCACAAGTATTTTTTATTTTTAACTACTAGTCCATCAAATCTGTGTGTATTACTTAGGCCGTAGTTAAGTTTCTGTTGTTACGGCTTCTTTATTTTCTCAGGACTTTCCCAGGGCCTTTCACTTCGATCTACTCTTCATTTCTATCCGATTGGGTATGAGAATTTTTGAGAGACAAGGATTTTCAAACTGTAGTTTTCTATTGCTCTTATAGAACCTGATCGCTCCCGTTGAGAGACCATAAGTAAACTAGAATTATCGTTAATTTATTCATATTTATGATTTTATTTTATTGATTGAATTAAATCTGTTGGCAAATTACCAATTTCGACTGGTGTGTATTATCTTCTTTTACCAGGGTTGGTGTTCTATTAATTGATAAGTACCACAAGTAATAATGCATTTTTTTATTTGCTTGTTTTTTGCTTTATATTAACTATAAATTATATATACATATTTACAATATAAATTTCGATTTTAATTTGAGATTTAAACGACTAAACGTTAATTACGGATTTAATTTGTGTAAAGTTTTAACGTTACACTTCTTCGCCGCTGTACATTAACGTACAGCTGTTGTCTCCATCAACTGTGTTTGTAGTGTGTATAGTGCTGTTTATATTATTCATATTACTCGGATAATCTAAAAACTGAAGGGGTATTCGATTATTCGATTAATCGGTTAGAAACAAATACTCCAAAGCTGAAAAAAAAAAATTGAATTTTTTGTGAATTCGAATCTTTCGAATATTTTGATTTGCGATTATTATTCGTAGTACTACTTATATATTTATTTATGTTTTTAAGGTTAACTAAGAATAAGAAACTGGACTGCTAGGTTCTTCACCCTAGTAGTCCTCCGTATATCTACTATTCGAAGACTTCGTTAGCCAATGTCAAAGCGAAACACAGATTTGTATATGCATGAAAAAATTTGTATTTTTTGTTTTTGTTATAAAGAAAATGCGATTTAGTGCATTAGCAAAATTGTGTAAAAAAAAATGGATATTTAAAATTAAATTTAGTTTTAAAAAATATATATATAACGGTTTTCGTTGCATATTTATAAAGGGTTTCTGTCCAATAATTTTATCCGTTAATTTTTTTCCATGGTTAATTTTAAAGGTTTTAATTTGTAATTTCATTTTTTTTAAATGCGATTTTTAAATCGAATTTTCGATAAAATAATGTTTATAATAATAACAAAAATAATATATTTATAAATGCATAAATATTAATATTGACAATTTTTTACATATATTTTTATCTTTTATATTATATTTCATATTTTCATTAACATAATTTCTTTAATATAAAACAAATAAATAAATATTTATTAACAAGTAAATAAAAAACCTTGTAAACGAAAACCAAATTTTTTTTTTGACTCCGGAGACTTTGTTTGCCATCAGGTTATACTCGACTTACACGAGAGTTTTGTTTGTTATTTTAGCTGAATTTTCATTTTGCATAGAAAGCAATAACAATTGACAGTTAAAATAACAAACATGACAGCTAAAAGTAGAAACAAACTCGTGTGATTACTCGAATTTTTTAAATAGTTCGTAAAATCGAATATGAGCAGCACTAAAATGAGCAGCACTAGTGTTGAATAAAATCATAACATTTGGAGCAGATTTGCAATAACATAGTTTTATTTATTTTCTTTGTTTATTGTTCACTTTTGTCTTTTTTGGAAAAATAGTTTTTCATAGTTTTCTTAAAAGAAAGCACTCAAGAATCGATATTTGAACACACCCAGTAAGTATTTATTTTTTTTGCGATATCTGAAAAATTAGGTATTGACGATATATATATTTTTACAAGTTCGTTTAACTCTAAAGCAACGGAGCACTCGAAAATACGTCTTCACTTTCCAATAAATATATTGTTCAGTACTGTGTTAATAAGGATTCATAATACCTGTATAGACAATGCCGTTAAAATATAAGGGAAAAGATACTGAATTTCCATTACCCAATTGTAATGAAATTTATCCAAGTAAATGTGAAAAATGTTATGTTGATGAAACTCCTGACAAGCATCGATTGCCAGTCACAAAAGGTTTGTTATTGAAAGATTTAAAAGAATTTTCAAATGAAACTGTGAGACCAACTGATATACGTTTACATGTTGCGATTATTGTCACAGCAAACAAATTTTTATTATATCCCAGTGATACACCATTTATGTTACCTATGTTGCACATCTGCGATATCTGTGAATTAGATTTGGGTATTTGGAGTAAAAGTGCAGGATGGCCATGGATCAAGTATGGCATTAGAACAATAATGGAGATTCGAGATGATCCTGAGAGAGTTAGAGCAGTACGAAAGTTTTGGCATTATGTAAAACTTAAACAGGAAATGCAATTTCCAGATTGCTGAGCATTTGTTTGCGCTCATGACGATAAGAAGGTTAGAGCGATTTGGGGTTACCCCGCTACTGTTACTTTTGGAGAAGCAGTATTTGCGAAACCTTTGATTGATGCTTATTCACAATTGCCCACGAACACTTCACCATTTGCTTACGGTATGGAAAGCGTAACTGATGGACCGATGAAAATTAGATCACTTTCATCGGAAATGGATTATATTATCACAGTTAAAAATTTTCAAAATTTGATAAAACCGTTCCTGCCTGGCTTATTGAGATTGCATTTGATATATTACAATTTAATATTGATTTTGTTCATTATAGAGGAAATGGAGTAGCTGATGCACGCAAAATGGCACACATGTTTGACACAATAAAAGACTACTTCATCAATACACCCATACGAACAGCAAAGGGGTTAAGGTTTAAAAAATCAAGTGGTATACCCAGTGGTAGCTATTTTAGTCAACTAATCAGTTCCATTGTAAATTGTCTTGCTTTAACGTATGCAGTTTTACACATTACATACGAACTTCCAATTAATTCTGTGTTTCTTGGAGATGAATCTTTTCTAACAACAAGAGTCGCTCTGGATCTTAGTGAAGTATCTAAAATATTATTGAATCTTGGGTTAATTTTGAATGAAAAGAAATCAATGTCATCTACTAATATCGACGAATTAAATTTTCTTGGTTATGAAATTAAAAATGGAGTTGTCAAGAACAATCAAGATGATCTTGTAGCATCATTAAATACTCCGGAGCGCCCTGATCAAAGTTGGAGTGAAACTGCATCGCGAACATAAAGCATATATGTTGCTAACTTCGTGATGAATACTTGAGTAAGTTTAAATGAAGACATTTTTGTTTAAAAGATAATTGTAAATTTGCCTAGCGCTTCAGAGTATTTCGCTGTGAATCATAAATGGTTCAATGGTTTCTTTTTCAGTAAAGAAACGTTCCGTGCGCGTTCATAAGCTTATATTAATATATTTATATTAGTCAAATATACGAATATATATTAGATGTATAGATACATATATATAAATGTAGGTAAATAGATAAAGTGTTTTTATTTGTTACTAGGCTTAGATCGTTTATTTAACACATAAATTTATAAAAAATTTTTTTAAATAAAATAAAAAATTACACTTTTTAAACAGTGTTAAATATTTAGTTATATTTTAATTTTTATACAAAATTTTTTATATTACAAATATTTTCGACTATTGTCCGTGTATAATAATAATGTATAGTAATAAATAGATATATCTAAAATATATTGGATGTAAGTTTTGATGGAAAAAATGTGTCAAAAATTAATCTATGAAATAAGCGAATGACTATGCTTATTTAGCTTCGAATTGATAAAGCTTCAACATTACTGGTATACATACATACTGTTGTAATGTAAATAATATATTTTTAATGAATAATTTTGTGTGAAGAGTGCTTAAGTTTCGGTATCGCTAAACCTTTTTCCTCACTTATTCTTTTCATACATTTTTTGGTATGTGTTGATGTTTTCCACCGAAGGCACTTCACATCTTTTGCTAGGTTACCCATATCAGATAACAACAATTGAAAGCAAAAAATTTTTAATTTAAATCTGAAATTAGAGTAGAACTACTAAAAGCTGAAATCGACGTTTGAATTTGACAACAATAATATTTCACAAGCCAAAGCCTAGCAAAAATTTACTTGGTATTGACAAGAACAATGAAGTGATTACAGTCAATATTTCAAAACGAGATGTAAAATATTTATATAATATTACAAAAAGTGAAATACGAATAAAGTTTCTTTAACCTTAAATGTCATTTCAGTTATGTTCTTCACTACAGGATGAGATCAAAATACAAACTTAATGGATGAAGTTAATACGATATTTTTTCTATTGATGTAAGCAAAATGCAAGCAGCATGTATAGGACACTAAACTGTAATTTGTTAAAGTTTTCTATTGATTATGAAATTAAATAAATTAATAAATTATATTAACAATGTACTCTATATTTTAATATTTGCTGTATATATGTTAATATTTTTTTGCTTGATATGTAATTTTTGTTAGGAAGTTAGATTACATATTCGTTCCACAAACAGCCTTAGCCACTTGTCAATTTCGACGACCAAGTGTCGTTTAATACCTCCCAAAGTGATTTCACAAGCAGCTCCCCGCGGGTTACAACAAAAAAATATTAGATATTCGTTTATTTATTTCTTGTCTGTATATTCTGGCTTTAAACTCTACTTTTTTGTTCCATTAACTCCCATTGAAGCATAGGAACTCTCTATGAACCCTCTGAACCGTATTCTATTCGGAGCTGCCGTGTAGATATCTTTCCATGAGTACCGCGCTGATATTAGTTCGACATCAATTGTCCTTTGCCATGTTCTTGAAGGGTCGTCAGGCTGGGTTCCACTTTAGGGTTTGCTTAGCGATAGAGGAATTCGACTTGCGTAACGTATGTCCGATCCATTGCCATTTGTATGTTCGCTCTTTTCCACAATCCCGCGTTAGAGATGCGTTTTGGCCACTATATTTTGAAGATGCATCTTAGTTAGTTTTAAGCAATCCATTTTATTTAATAAGAATATATATTGAGAGAGAAATCCTTTTTTAAATTGCTTCAGTGTGCATTCTTGAGTTTTCAAACTATGAGTTAAATATTTCTTATAATTCATTTTCAAGAACATTTTCATGTTCTTTTATCTATCTAAGATATTCGCACTAAATTCTAATGAAAGATAAAAATCTTTTATGTACTTCAATGAAAAATTTTTGGTATTTCGTTCTGTACTCATTTCCATCAAAATTTCAATTTCAACTTCACTTTATGACAGTGTCAATACCACTTAAAATTTTAACGTTCATTATTGCTGGTGACATTTTTAAAATAGCTTTGCAAACTGACTTCTAAAAAAACACACACTCAATCTTTTCCTAATAGGTTTTCGCTTCGATAGCTTTTAAGGATGGTATAAGATTTTTCATAGAAATTAATTTACCAAAAAATTTCCAAGTAAATTATACAAATTCTTAATACAATAAACACATTTATTTTATAAAAAACTTGAATGAATAATAAATATGAATAAAAAAAATGATAAAATGAAATCTCTGGATGACTTACTTTTATAGCGCAAGAGATATCCTCCTTTTATTTGTTTACCGATATTTCCTAAAAATGGAATAAAAGAAAATTTTGTAAATTTTCATATTTTTATAAATTTTCATAATTTTGTAGAAATTTATAATTAAAAAATTATAAAAACCAAAAAAAAGCAAAGATAAACTCATTCTTAATTTGTGACAAAATTCAACCTTAAACAAACTTAAGTATAATTTAACCTCAACTGTGCATCCTTTTGGATTAATATCGCGCTAGAGAAAATCCTACTTAAATTCCACAGCAACTTAGCCTTCATTTATTCAGAAGCGTTCAACGCCTTAGCCAACAACACTCAACACTCAACACTCAACATCCAACATCCCATCCTCCACACTAGTATAGTATATCCCACAAATGCCAGCATACACAGAAGCAAGCGCAACATACACTTAACTACAAACATTTACTTCAGCGTTACACAATTTTATCTACCAATAATTACGGTTCTACACAGATACGCACATTTGTTAAAATATATGATATCTTATAGAATTTATGTAGATATATTTTTTATTATATTTTATGTACTATATGGTATACAAGTATGCTATGTATCTGTTGGTGTGTATTTGGAAATAGCTTTTGCTTTATGCATACTCGTATACGAAACAGTACCAAAGGCGTTTCTTTTACCATTCAGTTCCCTGCATTCGCTTAGAGTGCTATTCCTAGTTATGCACACAATCCCTCTGCATTATCTTCCTCTGCACCCACTTCTAACATCACACACCATGAGAATGCAACGAGTACCCAAACGCTTTAGCTGCAGACAGATCTCAAGTGTCGCTACACTGAAGCACTGAAGGACGCTGGGCACACAAATCGCAAGGAAATCTGTTAAACTGTATCATTTTACACACATGCGGGTATGGCATCAACCCAAATGGGACAGCTAATGCCAAAAGAATATGTGAGGACTTTGTACGTATAAAAAATGTACAAGTTTTAAAATACATATGACATGAGAGTAGCGTGGCAGTGTTGGTCAAGAGAGACTTTTATTTCCTATATAATTTTTTAAAAACTATCTTGGAAGAAAAAAATAATAAATTGTAACAACGAACTGTAGGGTAAATCTACATTAGTAATATATGAAAATGTCCTATATATAAAGAATTAAAAATTATCTAAGAAGTTAAAATAATAAATTGTAAACTACCATTATTAACTACTACTTGCATATAATATCATTAAAATATGATAATATGATATATATAATATATTACTACCATGGCGGTTTTAAATAATTTAATTAATTTATTATATTGTTCAAACAAATTTTGTAATTCAGCGATAATCTGTCGTTTAGTACTCATATTCAGTTGACACCGTCTGTTGATTTGTTCGTCAGTATTTCCCATAAAATACCATATATCTGAAGATATTTGTGATCGGCATTTGGCAAGGGTAGTAGTGATCCAGCATGGTGATAAATTTACTTTTGCGCTAACGATATTTGTTGCTCCGAACGATGTCATTTGGAAGTATGAATTGTACTTGCGTATATTTTTCAAATAATTTTTTGATAGACTTGTTTCACCTGATACTAAAGTTAATAATGGCTCAGATGGTGAACGAAAGTCTGGTAACTTTACTTTTCCACCTGCACAGCACATACCTGATGTTTCATTTTTAAATTTTTGAGCACGACAATACTTACACTTTCTATCCATTTTTCCAATAATTACACTTGAATGAAGACTGTAATTGTAAAGGGGATTGTAATTGAAACCACATGAATTCAAATCAGCATGTATCGTTCGAATTCGATTCCTTTGCAACCTTGCTTGCCTCTGTTCACTCGTTTCTAATGAACGAGCAAGAGCAGTGTGAACTCGATCTCTCTTTCTTGCTTGCTTGCCTCTGCTCACTCGTTTCTAATGATCGAGCAAGAGCAATGTGAACTCGATCTCTTTCTTGCCTTGCTTGCCTCTGCTCACTCGTTTCTAATGATCGAGCAAGAGCAGTGTGAACTCGATCTCTTTCTTATTTTGTTTGCCTCTGCTCACTCGTTTCTAATAATCAAGCAAGAGCAGTGTGAACTCGATCTCTTTCTTGCCTAATTTTTCTCTGCTCACTTGTTTCTGAAGCTCGTGCTTCTCTTCTCCTTTTTGCTTGATTTGTAGTTCGACCAATGATACTTCGCTTTGGTGGCATAATTATGGTGTTAAATAAAACGTATTTCCCTCTGATTTTAATAAATTGAATTAAATAAATTATTCTATTTCACTTAATATATTTGCTCAAAACTAAACTAAAACACACACTGTACGAATGTAAAAACCAAACTGACTTCTCACAATATATTTCTTCTTCTCGAGGATTGCTGGATTGTTTTAAATGATATTGGAAATTATATTGCAGAATACACTTTCACCAAAATATTACTAATTAAATGAACCTAGAACCCCAACTCTGATTTTAATAAAAATTTGCAAAAACCTTTCCCGGAATATACCTAACAATTTCTCAAATTTTCACGGTGATTGGATTTATGGTTTTTGAATCCATCGAGTACAGACATACAAACAGACAACATTCATTTTCATATATATAGATTAAAAATTATCTTAGAAAAAAATAATAATAAATTGCATAACAACGAATTGCATTTACCCTATATTATACATACATATATGAGAATATCCCATATATAAAATTTAAAAATTATCTTAGAAATTATCTTAGAATAATAAATTGTAACAACGAACGAGTCTACCCTACATCATTAAAATATGAGAATATCTTATATACAAAAAAATAATAATTTTAAATTTAATTATAATTAAAATCAATTTTATAATTTATTTTATTGTGCATAGATAAAAACTGATGGCAAAGGTTCATCCCATTCAAAGTTATCAATAAATTGTATATATATATATATAATATATATATATATATATTATATATATATATATATATATATATATATATATATATAATATATATATATATATATATATAATACCTATACAATTCATGTACAATTCATATATACATATACTTATATACATTTTATATAATTTTTATTGTTAACCAGAAAAAAAAACAAATAAAAACGTTTTTAAAGTATAATAGTTCTTTATTTCTTTGGAAAATATTTTTGGGGGGGAGGGGGGTAAAGAACGGAATTTGGTAATCCTAAAAGTGGGCAATCGATAACTGCAAATCAATTAATGTAGCTTTTAAATCTGTGTTTTTTCAATTAATTACCGAAAAATTTGTTTTTCAAATTAATATAATGAGGAATTAGGTTTTAACCAAATTAATAAAATAATTTTATTAATTATTTGATTAATAACTATTCCATTTTACTAATTAATCTATTAACTATTAATCGATTAATTGATCACGCTCTGTTTTTTAACTTTATCCCTGGAATATATATCAATGTATTTCAAGTTTAAGTTACTATAACAGAACTAGCTTTTAACCATATTATATTACGAGTGCTATTCTGGAAGCAGCCACTGACTAATTGATAAATATAGCTTGAAGTTCGTATTATTTTTCATAAGTTTCACTGAAAGATATATCAATGTTGGGGTTAATATCATTTAAAAACAGGTTTTAACCTAATTATATTAATAGCGATATTAATATGTTATTAACCTCTAACATATTTGACTTAATTATGCTGCTTTAGTAGTCTTATATAATTTGATAAAGTTGTTTTAGTCATAACCGACATAATTTTATGACAATGTAAATAGCAAGTCATAAGAACATGATATAAATAATAATAATAATAATTAATAAGAATAAGTAATTAAAAATAATTTAACAAAAAAGTAGTACTAATATTATTATTATTATTAATAATGAAATTCTTTGCTCATGATGTCTGTCATGATTGCCTATATATTTAATTATAAATATATAAATTATGAGATATATATATGGCAAAATTATATAAAATGTAAAAAAAAACTGGAGATGTAAGTAAAAAGCGGTACAGGAAAAAAACCACATTTTGTGACATCTTTTGTAGAATACAATCACAACAAAATGGTTTATTTTAAGACGTTTTTGTTATGACTGCTGTCACTAACGAAATTACCAGAACAGCACTTTATATAACTCACTGTATATAACTCACTGTATATTACGTTATTGAAGATAAGTTAAAAGTCTTCATTACTGAACAAATTACCATCGTAGTGCTGTTTAGTTTATTATATATGACCGTGTGACAGTTGAATATCAGCGAGTGGATCATTATTTAATAGTCTTTTTTAGTAAAAGTATTAATAATAATACAGGGTGATCAAAACAGTACAATGTGTATAAGGTTTTTAAACCTCAAGCATCAGTTTCTTTTAACTTCTCAACAAAATGAATTATACTTCATTTTTATAGGAAATCTTAGAACTTATGTTTCAAATGGTGGTAAAGCCCGATCCGTAACCTCGTATATCCATAAGAGAAGTTTCGCTACGCATATTAGTTCGTGGAGTCTGTGTGTCTACTTGGAGAACATAATGACAAGGATCGTTCTGACATTTACCAAATTAAATGCAAACAGACATTTAGAAAGAACAATTTTTTGGCATATTACCATCGCAGGAAACGCAGTAAATTGTTACAATTTAATATAAAAATAATGAATCTTATATTAAATTTATGCTCAACGTAACCGACTTACATATCCTACTACTTTTAATATAATTCAAAAATTCAGATGAAGTGATAACATTTGTGATAATGAGAATCCCAACAATATAATTGAAAACATCAAGACTATAAACCAAAGTGCAAATGGAAATCGAAAACAATCAATTAATTCAGAACTTTTAAGAACGCTTTTAAGAACTTTAAGTTCTAAGATTGCATTTTAGTAGGTATAAAAACTAATTGACTCAAAAATTTTAACCATATGTTGATATAATATTAAATTATGGATTAAATTTTAATCCAGCATAATATAAGTTTGAAAGGTGTAAGTGCCTAAAACTCTTTATTACTTTAAATTAAATTATTGTAATCCATATTTGTCTTTACTTTAAAGAAATAAATAAATAATTAAATGAATAATTAGTGCGTAAACATTTCGCATTTTGGACTTTGAAATAACCTGAAACAGATCCATTTCTTGTCAGGAAATTCATATTAAATTGTGTAAAAACATCCCATTTTGGGCTTTGGAGTAACTTGAAAAATACTTATTATTTTCTAAAAAATAATTTTCAGCAATCTAGGTCATTTCTGTTTAAGACTATTCATATATCAGTTGGCCATGGTTTAAGGATTGAATTGAATTGTTTTTTTTATTTCAAAACATGATTACTGATTTATTGTGGCATTGGATATATAATTTCAAATATGAAAATATGTTTTTTTCTTGCCGAAGTGACGCATCTTTATGACAAAAAAAAACCTATTTTAAACTTAGACGGATTCAAAAAGTAAAGAAGAGACAAGAACAAATATTTATTTAATTTTTTTTCGCTGTTTCGAGTATTGCCAAGTACTCATCATCAGTGGTTTTTTTTAAGGAAATAATAGAATTTCCTAATTAGTTTTTAGTCCGTATATAATTTGTTTAGACTGCAACTGCTAGGCTTAGAGCTCGTGCTTGTCAAAAATTGTGGAATATGCAACACATACTATATTGTGACACAATCCATTTGTTAAAAGAAAAATGTAAATTATATAATTTTATAATTACTAGTTTAAATATCCTTTATTAATATTTTGCATTATAAACAACTGTACAGAATAGTTTGTGGCAGAAAATAATTAATTAATTTTTTACAAAGTGTGAGAATGCCTTTAGCAATATGGTTATTTATTTTAACGATATTTTATATCAATAAATATAAAAAATATATGTATAAAATTCACCTTTGAACCTAAATTGGTTTTTAATAATTTAATAAAAATTAAAAACATTTATAATTTTGCTCGAAAATTTTATTAATTAATATACAAAGTTAAACAATATTGAATAATATTCAATAATGAAGTAAAAAAGATTATTTTTAATTATTTAATTTTTGAAACTTAATCAAATTTAAACTTAAATCCAAAAATATTAGTTATTGAATATATAACTCATACGCTCCGTTATCCACACTTTGCTTCTAAGTAAAACGTTTAAAAATAAAAATTTTCGTGAGTTGCCAAATAGTTTTAAATTGTAGAAATGTTTTAGTTCTACTTTCAAACTACCATATTAGTTTGATGGAAGGTTATAGATGAGACTATCATTACATATTAGAACTCAGTTGTAGTAAGTTCTCTTTTATAGCAGATGAGAGGTTGAGAACGCTTTCTAATCCTACCTGAAGAATAAAGAATGAAGAAATACTAAACAACTACTTTAATACTAAATAAAACAATATAAACGAACTCAATTTATAAAATTTGGAACTGTACGCTCTACAGCATATTTGTAGGTGCTATATAACGGAGCCCTAAATGGCTTAATTTTTTTTAAGTATAAAGTTAAAAATTCCCCAACAATAATATTTCGAGACTCAGTTATTTAATATAAAAAAATGCTTGGATGGTAGTTTCTATTCTATATGGGACTCACAGGGTTTTCGTATTTGAAATCTATATATACGCGGTTAGAATTACTATATCCAAAGGTATATTTTCAATTGGTACCGGTGGAATCGTATATAATTTCAATGTGAAAGTTTATTGTTGCATTATACTCATATACGTTTTAAGAATAAAATGGTGTTGAGCCTAAATGCTAGGTGATTCTGTTAGAAAACTATAGACTCTGCCTTAAAGTAATTTTTATTGTATACACATAGAAGAAAATCCTCAAAAGATGAGATTTTTATTTATATATATGTCAAATGATTGGAAAGTTGGAAAATTGGAAGATTATTCCGGAGACTAATTTTATACTACAATAGCAGCAGAACTACTATTGAAAATTACTGAAATAATAAAACTTAAAAAAAAAAACAAATTACAGGCGGCCTTCAAAATCAGTTAAAAAAAAATCAAATCCATATATCTACCATTTCTACTATAACTACTTAGCATATCTAATCTCTGGTAGGTGCTACAGCCACATCCTTAACAATTCGAGAATGCCAGGTTTCTCTTAACGTATTAGCAAGACGGTTTAGTGTTAGACTCAAATGGGTTTATGGACACAGGGATATTTCGGACAAATACATTATAGATAAGCTTGCTGAGGCAGCTACTCAGTTCCCTGATAATTTTTTCTCAGATATTGATATGTCATTTGCAACGGTTAAACCGGTAATCATATAAAAATATTTGAGCATAGCTAAATAAAATTGGTTAGATGAACGTACAAGTCAGCTGCTTCAACTAAGGCGTGACCTACTCAGAACCATGTTATCGGTGCTAACGGGTCACTGCATACTAGGAAGACAAGCTTTGAAATTGAGTATATAGTATAATGACAGTTTTCATGATTCTAACTCTGCGGATGAAGAGAACTCTGTACTCCATCTCATGTGTCAGTTTCAATCATTGGCTATATGATAAAGTTGTTATTCTGCAAAATTAGGAACTTGGTTTAGTTTATAGATTTGACTCTTTGCTTTTCTTCGCTACCCGTACGCTGATTTCTAGTCAACGTATGAACAATGCTTATCCGCGGGATCTCAATAGTTTAAGTAGAGTTGAGCTCAAGTAGTGTTTGGCTAAAAGCCTACCACTACAACTTAACTTAACATATCTTAAAATATCTGTAAGTGGTTGACTTAGAAGAACACAAGAACATATTTGAAAGATATCATTGCGCCACTTTAGAATGGGCTACTTTAAGATAGCAGTAATAGTTCATAATAAAATACAATGTCAAGCAATTTATTCATTTATTCGCATTATTTTAATATGAAAATTGAATGGAAAGCTTAAAGGAAACTCAGGCGAAAGCTGTGTCTGTGAATCTTGAACAGAAATTGAATTATTAGCTCAATTTTCCAACGCCATTATTGCCAGAAAAAGATTGCCAGATTGTATCTATTTAGCTGCAATACTTAGTCGTGCACTTAACATTTGACTGTAGTGCGCTTATTTAAATGTTAAGATGCGAGGAAACGAACACAAGAAGTTCGTTGCAAAAAACAGTTCGAATGCAAAAACAACGCCACTTCCAAGTGCACACCCACACTAGCGCTGCGAGAGGAGGAAAGCATATACACGAACATAAAATATAATTCACTTTCACTTGCGTTTTCGATTCAAGTACAAAGTTTTTTTTAATGCATTGCTTTGTTGGTATTTTGTCTATGCACGAACTACAATGTTGCATTGCAAGAAGAAATTTAGGTTGCCTTCTAAGCACCAATACATGTGCAATATAGTTGCCAATGCCTGAGTTATGTTTAAGGGAACAAACAACCCAACATGAATTTAGCATAAGTACACAGAGTAGTGTGCATTCGTAAATTTGCGCTTTTAATAATAAAAAAAATTGTTAATGATGTTTCGTTATATTTGCTTGTTGGTGTGAGTTTGTTTTGTATGTGTGTATGTGTTTTGGCTGAGTTATACATGCAATATACATGACTTGTGTGTGTGTGTATTATTGTATGCCTGTGTCTGTCTGCTTAACAGTGAATTCATTGAGAAAAATAAGTATACCCCAGAATTGAAGAAAAAGCGTTGTTGGCACCCCATCCCCCAACTCCCGTATACGTAACTAGCACAACACAAAACAGCACAGCATAGTACTCACCCGTTAGTTGTTGTGTATTCACTGAGTTTCGTGGCTTCACTTTGGAGCACATGGAAAACATGTTTGGCAGCTTATATCTCAACAAATTTTAATAAAAATTATTTATAAAAAAACACCAATTTCTTTCTACGAGCTTTGCTTAATAATCCTTAAGAAGTGTGGAGTTCGTCCTTCTTCGACAGAGAACACTTCATACAATGGGTGTGCGTGTAATGGGTGTGGGTTTTTTGTTTTTTTTCTTTTTTTTTTTTGCTTTTTTTGCTTTTTTTGCTTTTTCGTATCTTCAGGTGTCGAAGCTTTACACAATTTAATTTCAAAAATAAAAAATATTAAATAAAGTTTGAACTCAATTATGTACGCAAGAAAATAGTCCGAAACACTTCCAAGGCTGGCGACTCTTCTTTCCTCCTGTCCTGTCCACTCACAACATTTAAAGCAGTTTCAGTTTCAGTTTCAGTTTTCCGTTTTCATTGATGTCACCCGAGTTTGGCACAAAATGACGTCGCGTCTCAACTGAGGCAGAGTTTTAAATTCGCATTAGTGTAAGTAACGAATTTACAGTTATTAACGAATTTTAATGACCAAAAATTTCCGTTCTTAACGGTTTTGGTTTCTTTTCGTTGAAATTGTAGAAAAACTTTGAAAGTCAAATAGGTACACAATGAGCGTTTGTTTGGTCGAGCAGTTGGTTAGGCGTGCGGTATTTGTCTCTTATCACTAACGACCAAATGTGTTGGTGGGGTTGGGTTTGTTAATGTTCTTGCTGATGCTGATACTGGTACTGGTATTGCTGCTATTACTGAGGCTGAGACGGAGACTGAGACTGCTGTTGATGTTGCTGATGCTGATGCTGATGCTAAAGCTGATACGAATCACAATGAGTTCGGTATTCAATGAGGCGACTGTATGAAGCAACGCCTTTTCTGCAAAGTGTTTTTGCGCTTCTTTCTTTTACTGCTGTGGTTGTTTTGATTGTTTTTGTTGTTATTGTTGTTATTGTTGTTAGTATTCCTCGTTTCCGTTACTGAGCGATTAAAGGCTACGCATTCGGGTGGTGGGCTAGTGAAATTACCGCCGAGAAGGTTGTGTGAAGGAGACAAGTAGAGGTGGGGCAGCTAATAACTTTTAATTAGATTTTTTTTACAATTTCAATTTATTTTATTTTAATTTTTTTTTTAGTTTAATGCAGCTTCTATTATTTTTTATAAACACTATCAATTTTTTTTTTATGATTGTTATATATATCAAATGTTTTTAAATTATGCTTTCCCTCTTCTTGGTATTAATAAATTTTTATTTCTAGTATTTTTACGTTGTAATTTTCAATTTCTTGAGACGCGAATATTTTTTGTTTAAAAAAAAGTATTTATTTATTATTAATTGTTTTTTTTTTTTTTTTTTTGAATTATTTTCGTTTATGTGCGATTCTGTTTAAGTGTGAATGAGCCGATGAATAGAGCACAAATGGCAAAAATCATTGGCAAAACGCGCGATTTTCCGTCTGCAGTTGTCACACCTCAGTTTGTGTAAACGGCCAAAACTTAACTGACAGCTGCCATAGCAGCCAAGCTAGCCAAACACATTCACTCCCACAGCAGCAGCAGCAGCAGGCAGGCAGGAGCAGCAACGTAATAGCAAGAGATGATGCAAAATTGTGTAAAGGGAAAACAGAAGCTTTTAGGTTACACTACGGTCCGCACACATGAATTCAAAAATCTAACGGCGAGAGCACGTTTAACTTTACTGAGGGAATAAAATCAAATAAAATTCCTTTTACCTTTTACTTATACATGTGTGTGTGTATATGTCATCATTACGCAAAATGTAAGCAACACAAACAATATAACAACAAATACAACAAAGAATACAAATAAGAAAAAAGAATAACAAACACCAATAAAATATCAGTGAAGTGGCTTGCATAACGTTAACATAAGTTCAGTTCAGCATCATATGAGCGCATTTGTATGCCCGTTCTACGTCCTTCAATGTCCTATGCTGCGACGGCGCTGTTGTGGCGGCAACGACCCGAAAACATATGACATCGCCAGTTTGTTTGTGGATTCAGTGTTGATGTTGTTTTGATAAGCAGCGAACAGATATCAAGAAAATAAGAAAATATAGTAAGTAACTGAAACACAAGAGAGAGAGCAGCAAACATAGCAGCCTTTTATTTCGCTGCTTTGTTGTTTTCACAATGAAAGCATGTCCTGTTTAAGTAAAAGCTTCAAGCCAAAACAAAAGCTCAAAGCTGTTCGGCGCATATATACCGTTTGTTCCGTGTGGAAGTAGGTTATAGGTTATACGCCCACACAATTGCAGACTTGTTGTCGTGATTTAGGCTCTGCTTTTTTTTCGGTTTGTTGCAGTCGCTGTTATTTGTTGTTAGTTGTCGTCTGTTGGTGTTGGTGTTGTGATGCTCTTGGTCAATGTAAATCTTCTTTCTGATCGAATTTTTTATATTATTTTGTGTGTACTTGAATATAGGAAAAACTAACCTAAATCACTTGGCAAGCATGTATATACAGCAAAAAAAAATGTTAGTAATTCTACATTGAGGATTATCTGTAAGGTGCGTTAATAATTTGCTTGTTAAAACTAATTTATTTAAATGAAATAATAAATTACTTAAAAATTAAATAATAAATTTTGACTAATTTAGTAATATCAACATTACAGTTTTTTTTATTAAAAATATTTTGTTTTAATCAAAATAAAAGTTTTATTAAAATATTTTTATTATAAAAATGATTTTTTGTATTGTTTTTGTAACCAAACTTTACTAAATATGTTTTACTTGTGAACCAATTGGTCAAGATTTGTTGATCAATTCGTTTTTTATATTATAATATCTAAACTGTAGATAAAAATTTTCTTTTAATAAATAATACACTAAGAAATTAATAATAAAAAAAGCATTTTTAATTTGTTTTTATATATTAAAAATATATTTTAATAAGATTTTATTCTACAATAGTAATAAGATTTATTTTTCTAAATAAAGAAAATTTATTTTAATAAATTACATATAACTAAAAATTAATGATATGAAAAACATTTTTAAATTTTTTAAATTATTTTTGTATATTTAAAATATATTTTAATAATATTTTATTTGAAAAAAATTTTATTTAAATAAATAATACATGAATAGAAATAATGAAAATTATTTTAATATATTATTTAAAAATACAAATTTTAAAAATTATTTTTATATATTCAAAATGTATTTTAAAAAGATTTTTTTTTGTACGATATTAATAAGATTTATTTTTCTAGATAAAGAAAGTTTTATTCAAATAAACAATACATACCTAGAAATTATTGATAATAAAAATCATTTCTACATTTCAAACTTTTTGAAAGCAACTCGAGCTATGTTCAATTTTACCTATTTAAAATTTAATTTCCGAGAACTAAGAATAGAAGATATTCGTATAAAGTCCACACAAAGTCTTAATTAAACCAATTTTACTTTTCAATGTTATTAAGAGCTCATATACTTTATTGCGTTTTCGATATCTGTCATAAACATCATAAGTTTCACACTTTATCCATTTTCTAAAATATTAATACAAATATCCACAATTTGAGCAAGAAAAATTGTATCAATATATAGATTCCAAAACCACCCGCTTCACTTTAAAATGTGAGTCACTTTACACATCACACATCCCGACTTTTATCACAAACGTACATCATATCTTAAGTTATATATTTTAATAATACCAATGTAGTATTACCATTAGATAAGTATAATTAAATCTATACGATAAAATCGTTATCAACGCTACAATAATTCTGCCTCATTTAACCATTATCTTCATTGATCCCGATGCGAGGCAAAGCAACTGCTTTGAGTGCACCTATACTGAAAACGTCCTGATATATGCAATTAATTCCCTACAATCATTGTCTGATCCAGGGCAACTTTAATCTTTTCACCTATTCCGACTGGGAATCAATACCCACTGTTTGAGTGCAAGCACATATACTGAGCACATCCTAATCTACATCTTGATTCTTTAACTATAACGTTTGCCCGTTCCGGACTGTCTAAAACTAGTCTTGTCACTGATCCTAAATGTGAGTCTAAGCTATTCGTTTAAGTTCACCTATGCGCAATTCGTCCTAATCTACGTTATTATTTCAATAAAAAAGCTGTCTGCAATAGGTCTGGAGTCAATTCCATAATTTTGTGTGAACGCACCTCCGCTCAGCACATCCTGATCTACTCTACTCTATTCTTTCACTACAATGTTTGTACGGTTCTGGTCGTCTTTAATAAATATCTACACCGATTCCAATTGCAAAACCAACGTTTTTTATTTCAGTATACCTATGTTCAGCACGTCTTTATCTAACCTATTCTTTCACTATAACCTTTGCATGGTTTTGACTATCTTGAACTTCACTGATCCCGAGACGATATCATTCATTACCCATACCCATTCCTTGGCATAGAACTACTTTAATTAGTCTCTTGAGTGATCCTGATTGCGAATTAACGCCTTAAATTTCAGTGCTCCTATGCTCAACACATTCTGCTATATGCTATCCTCCCACTACAACATTTACTGGGTTCTGCTCGTCTTAACGTAGTGTGTTCACCAATCACGATTGAGAGTTGATGTCATCCATTTCATGACACCTGTGCTTAATCTATTTAACATGAGTGTTGTTAGGTAACACTGACAATAAAATCTGTCATAGGGTATATTCCAAGCAGATTTCTCTGCAATCATAAAAGCACGGGGCGGTACGCAGAACTTAGATCAGTCATTGAATAATCACGGAGCTTATGAGAAATACACAAATTAGTCAGTGAGATGGGTGGGACTCTGCAGAAACCCCCCAGCTAACAAAAAGTAAAAGTGTTCCGATGCACTAACTCGGAAAAGGCTCAACAAACAAGCTAGATGACTGAATACATAAAACAATATATTTGCCGTCAGCAATATATGCTGGTCTTCAAAGTATAATCGTATAAAATCATTTGAATAACTTATTATCAGAATACAACGGAGTTCTTATTTCATTGGATCATCTAATGACCATCTATCTAAATGCTCACTGATACCTACTATTGAGTAAAAATACTTTAGACACTAACTTGCTTTTCATCTAGCAAAGAAGAAGAAGGAATGACACTTCATCGGTTCTGATACTAGCAATACTCAAATACGATTTATATGTCATAGTGCTTTCTTCTATGCATCCAAGGGTCGGATCCACATAACACGACAGTTATCTTATACAGCAGTAGCTCAAATTTTATAATATGGTTCTTCGGTAAAAAATCTTTGACTTTTATGCTGAGTTCTACTTTTAATTTATTCTCATGTAAACTGCATTCAACTTCTTCATATGATGCTCCTCTCTATTCCTAAGAAAAATTCTATTGTTTTACAGATTTAATTAAAAGTATTTTTATATTTAAGAAAATCTAATTTGACCTCAATACTTCACATAAAAGGTGAAAAGCACAAATACAAAAATGTTTTAGTAGTTTTGGAAAATATGAAAAAATTCTAATAAAAAACAAGTTCACTGTTGTCATGACTGAGATTCTTCAGTTGATGCCTAATCATTTTGGTTCATTTGATTATTCATGAACATTTGAACATGAACGTTTGTACGACACCAGCTCATTCCACTCTTCTAACTCTCAAAGCTAAAGGAATTGGTGTCAATGCAAGCATGTGTTGCACTGTTGTATACCCATAACTTCTGTTGACCCTGACACAATTTCATTGTTTTTCAGAGCGACAAATTGAGCGCCAGGATAAAATCTTCTACACAAGACCATACTGAAATCCATACTGAAATAAATGACTTTTATATGCACGCATAAAAATGTATGAAAATAAAAAAATGTATGTATCTAAATAGAGTAATCAAGGTAAACTGTTTTTAGAGAAATAGGCGTTTTTTTATAGGTGGTTAAACAATTTTAATTTCATTGTAGATATTAAAGTACACAGTACATAAACAATGCATATATTTATATAAAGTTTGGTGATTTGATCTTAAAACTACACTAAATATTTGATATTCCTTTCTTTCTGTACATACCCTAACTTAATTTATATATACTTTTTGTTTTTTGCATATTTTGCTTAAGGCTACTCAGTTTAATAAATAACAATTATTAATTATTAATAATTTACATTATAGGCTTTTTCGGAATTTTCCCTTGTGCACTTAGGTGCAATTTTTTAAATAGAAAAAAATACGAAAAACAACTAAAATATTTACATAGTAAATCTCAATAAAGTAAAAATTACTCATCCAACACCGTTCGCAACCAGCTATCGCGATGTTTAGATTTCTTATCGGTAATCTTTTCAAATATTGTAACTCCCTTTTTTGACATAGGAGATGAGTTGGTTGATTTCGGTAATACAATTCCGGAATCAAATATGCGTTCTCCGTTTGCATTGATGAGTGGCAATGTTGATATTCTATCAACTGAGTTTACTCTTTTAGAGGATGAAGAAGATGAACCATGTCCAACATGTACATTATACTCTCGCCTGCTTGAGTGTTTTGAACTTTGATTTGATCTTGATGTAGTGGGTGGAACTAAGGCATCCATTTTTAAAGACATTTTGTCGTATTTTCTCTGCCATTCAGCCGCTTTTGATAAGGCTTTGGATGATGTGTCAGGACAATTATTATTTACATTGTAAAGTTGCTTTGTAAAATCATTTGTACTTAATTTCATCTTGTTCGGACGTGATGATGATTCCGTTTTCGGTAAAAATATATCAGACCTTCTTTTCTCTTCTACTGATTCCGATTTCAGCGCCGCACTTGATGTTGTCGGTATATCGTCTTTCTCAAAACCCTTCGGCATACTCTCATGTATAATATTTTGCTGTACCGACTTTTGTAATAATGCTTCATGTGAATTCAATTGTCCCATTTTCTTTTGTGTTATATGTGCTGCTATTTGTGGAATAAAATTCCGTTTTACTGGCTCATTTGTATTTTGTACAACTTTGTTAGAATTTTGTTGTATTGAGGGATCGATTCTTTGTAATAAAGTATCAACTATCCTATTTTCCAAAGGTGATTCTTTTTTAACTGGTGCTGTTGGCGACGATAACTGAATATTTGCATCCAAGCGAAAACTATCGTTTAAATTTTGTTTTGCTTTATTCAATATTGTGCAGTCCATCTTTTGTAAAAGTGTATCAACTGTGCTATGGTCACCTTCTAAACATGGTCTAATTCTGAAATCATCACATTTTTCGGCAAAATTTCTTACATAAGAATCATCTAATAACGTTTTCCGACGTAGTTCAAGCTCAGTATTGTCTATTATTGCAACTGATTGCGGTTGATTATACAATGTTGAGATGAGCCGCGGTCTTATTTGTGGTCTTGCTGCTGGTAATTTTGGTGGAGTACCAGCTTTTGCAAGTGCAGCCTTAGTTTTGCTCCAAGCAATGCGATACGCTGCTCCCTTTAGCGTTTCTGTATCGTAACATATTTTAACTTTTGTATTATTATGCTTTTTATCCAACTTTGGTCTTTGTACTGTTAAGTCTTCCTCAGAATTTCCAACTGTATGCCTCCGTTTGGGTACACGATCAGTGCTCTGCTCATAACTTTTACTAATGCTAGGCATATCGTAAACAAAATCTTTATTTTCCGGTTTTACACGATTACGCATCGGTCGCTTTTGCGGAGATTTTGAGGGACTTTCAGAAAAATCTGCGGTATGTTGTGAATGTGATCGTTTTAGCTTCTTGCGTTTACGTTTACATTCGATATGCGGTACGGGCTTCTCTGGAGTTGTTGACGCGGAAGATTTGCGTTTATTTCGTTTGTCGTTTGTTTTAATTTCTTTTGATTCTGTACAGCTTTTTTTGATTTCATCATTTAAAAGTAAAATATCCCCATCCACATCGTCTCTTGTGTAATGAACTTCATGAACTGATACATATTCAACTGCCATAGCCTCGCGATCGCCAGTCATCTTATGTACAAAGCCAAGATGATTAACAATATCATAGCGTCGAAACGCGCGATAATTGCATAGAGTGCAACCAAATTTATTTGCGCCATAATGATACATTGAAATATGACGTCGAAGATTACTGAGTGCACTAAATTCTTTATGACATAATTTGCAACGACAACGTACAAATTTTTCATCAGGTGAGCAACGAGATTTTCTTCTAGTTACCTGTTGATTCGTACTTTCCGGTTTAATTGTATCAATTACAGGAGCCACTGGTTTTTCTGCTTTTTCTTCCTTGTGAAGTTCTTTGTCCATGCCAGAAGTTACACTTAAGTCTTGTACTTCGTTAACTGTATTATTAACTTCAATACTGGGAATGTCATTATGTGATGCATTGCTTGTATTTTCTGGTGAAGCTGCTTCAATCTTTATTTTAGTTTTAACGACATCAATTGCATCACTATTTTGATTAACCGTGTCACTATCAGGAATTGGTGACTTCACTTCTTCTTTGATATCTACTTGTGTTGAGCCACTAGTGCTTTCGCTTTCTAGTAACTCCATATTATCAAGTGATATGGTTTGTAGACCAGGTTCAAATGTTTTCTTAACCAAATTTGCAAACATTTCATTTAATGATTCAATATCTGTTTCTGTTTCAGTTTCTGTTTTTATAATTGATTCGGAATTTGCTTCATCAATTTTATTATTTGAAACTGATGTAGAGCAAACCACAGCAGGTTTTTCTTGAGATTGCAAGATATTGTCTAATTTATCTGGTGGTTCATTAGCTAGTTTGGAATTCTCTAATTTTTGCGCTTTTTTGTTGCAAACTGAAAGGTGTGAATAAGATTCTACTTTATCAAAAACTTTTTTACAATATTTACATTTGACCAGCTGTCTCTTATTCTTAGGGGCAGTGCTTTCTCCAACACTCGCGTTAGATTCTGGTTTTGATTTTTGCAACGGTTCACGCTTTAAACTATGAGTTATTTTATTATCTTTTTTAATAGCAGCAGAATGTGGTTGTTCTCTGTAAAAATAGAAATTTCAGTTTATTTTACATTACACAAAAAAAAAAATATAAATTATAAATTGTAATTTAATCTTACTTATGATCTTTTAGCATATGCTGTAAATATGCTGAATACTTTGAATAATTCTGCGGACAATGATTGCATTTATATTCACGTGCCAAATGGACTTTATCTATATGAGCTTGTAAATTTGTTACTGTCGTAAATGGTATTTTACCTAAAAATGAATAATTAAGTGAATTGATTGTACAGAAAATAATTGAAAAAGAATTAATTATTTTATAGTGAAATTAACTTACAAACATTGCATTTTAATTCATCTTTTATGTCAGTTGTTTCCTTAACATCGGATCTTGTTGTAATTTGTTTACCTTCTGCGTCCACAACTGTTTTTGCATTAATTATATTGTTAATCTCATTAACTTCTGTTCTGATTGATTTTGAGTCTGCTCCGCCACGTTTTAGTGTTTGATACACGGCATGACGGTTATTAGGTACACTTTCCAGTTGCAAAACTGTGCTCTTGGATTTATCCGTTAATTTGTCTCTTCGTAATCGATCAATAACACTATTTATATTTTTATTACTTCCGTTTACTGTAGGTACATCAGTTCTACTCTCCGAAGTTGCGGTATTTGATTTTTCTTCTTTTTGTGTATCGGAAGGCTGTATAATTACAGTAGATGAATTATCCTAGTTTAAAGAAAAACAATTCATTATTAATATGTCAAACTAAAGCTTAAATTAAAGAACTTGATATATTAAAAATTTAATATTTAACGTGGAATAATGTGTAGACCAATTAACTACATATTTCTTAAGATCAAAATCTTTTAAATTATCAAAATCTGTAAGACTAAGTAAAACTATTTTTAAGAATACAAAAAAAAACGCGTTCGAATTTTTTCTATAAAAATTTACTATTTAAATTTAATAATTTTTTTCAGTTTAAAATCTGCGAAGTATTTATGTATTCTAATAAAACCAATAAAAAAATTAAAACTCAAATGTACGATCGTTTTAACAAAAAATTAATTAACTTTCCAATAAAGATTATATGATTTATAATCAAATCGATTTTTCTTCCAACATATAAAAATTTTAATTTCCTTCTCTCAAATTAATATAACAATTTCAATATTTATTTTACTTTTAAACTAACACAATATAATTTTTCTCTGCAAAAGTTATTGTTATAAATTTGATATCTGATCATTAATTAAAAAAAAAATCTGTATATTTGATGTTGCATGCTAATCGGTATCTACACCTAGAACGACACAACACGACAGTATATATATGTAGAAATCGTTTAAAATAGAGTAGAGAGTTATTTCTATTTTATTTAGTACTCACTGCGTATTTGCTTTTGTAATATGTAGCGGAGCGATTGCAGAAGGTCCTTTTATGACTTATAAAGTTGACAAGGCTGCGAAATAAATTTCGGCATATATAACACTCGTAGATAATATTACATTCGTCTATTAAGCACCGACGCACCTGTTTTCGAAAATTTATAATCTTATTTAGTAACAAATTGCTGGCTGGTACGCTAAATAAAATTACTTACTTCTTCGTTACCATTTTCATAAGCTCGCTTAGCGTCTAAAAAAGATGAGAATGTAGGACGTAATGGCCGTTGCACCAGGCTAGGGTCTTGTGTTAACTCTTCTTTTTGCATATTTTCTATAATGTTGTACGTGCGTTTTGTCATGTCAATAGAAAACTGCACTGTTTTTCTTTCTAATATTGGAACGGTGGCAGTTAATTGCTTATACAATAAACATTTTATCTTGGTACGCACACACAAAGTATATATTTTTAATGATTAATAATCATATTGTTTGCATTTTCACACACTTTACTTAATATATAATTAATATATATATACATAATTAACTGAAGCAAAATTTCCTTCCACTAAATTTTTCGATAACCTTTTATTTTCTTCCTATGCTCTAAATACGATTCAGTTGTTATCGATACCCAAAAAGTGGTGACACCAAAGCAGAAACAGATGAAAATGAAACAAATAAAGTTTGTAAACAAAAAACGTAAAAAAAAAATTACTAACTTTGTACGTCATTTATTTTTGGCATTTATCAGTTTACGACTTATCAAATAATATCTTGCACTAAAAAGTAAACATTAAATATAACGTATTACATGTATAGCTCAAATTATAATTTGTAGAACAGTGACAAAGAATAACAAAGGAGAACTACGAATTAAAGCAACAAAGATTTGTAAACAAACCGATACATTCGATGTACAGTGGAAGCCGCTGAACAAAATTGTAAAAATTTGGGATTCAATTTCGTGGAATTGTTTAAATAAGTATGCATTTATAAGTAAAATTACTGTTACTCCTTAGTAACAGTAATTTACAGACTACGGAAGCAATGTATGTATTTAAAAAAAATTTATGTTATTATTTTGTATGTTTGTAAAAATATTTTTCTTATTTTTCGGAGTAGTGGAAATACTAGAATAGTAGTGGCAGGTAGAGATATCTACAAAAATAATTTTTAACACCAGCTGTTTTTGCGAACAGGCAGCAAAAAAAATCAGGTTTTGTTCCATACATTGGAATAATATTTAATAAATAAATTAATTACTAACTATTTTTATTTCATATAGAACAAAAATGGATGACACATGCAATTAAAAATCTGCTTTAAATGTTGTATAAATAACATTTTCCATAATTAATTCTCTGTAAACATGAACTAAGTAAAATTTTATTTATTTATTATTTTTAGATTATATATTTAATTAAAAACGAGACTTTAGATTATATATTTAATTAAAAGCGAAACTTTAAATTCTATATATCTAAATAAAAACAAGGCATCATTTATTAATAAAATAATATCAACTGAATCGGTAAAAACTATCTGTTTGGTAATTACTCTACATATGTTTGTATGTTATACATACTGGGGTTTCTCAAGAACTGGTCTGCTAACATCTGCCGATCTTCGACAACTACCTGCACGAATTTATAATATATTTAACATTTATTTATACATGTAGGTATATGTAAATAAATTTTAATATATGCATTTATTAAGTTCATTATTTTTATATAGTTTTTACAACACATGTAAAACTTCTATCTTTGTTTTTTATGATATTATTTTTAGGAAAATATTGGTATCGGCCCTTGCAAAAGTCACCGAATATTTTTCTCCTTTTAGTTGAAAAGGCTAGCCTATATAATTGAATAATTTTTTCAAAATATAATTGAACGTACTTAGTTACACTAGCGGGTTAAAACACAATCTTTCCTTATTATTTCTTTTTTTAGTGTTCACAACATGATTTTTACCATCTCTGAAATTTTTAATATTTTTGATTTAAAGAGGGTTTCGAAAAATAGTGAACTACAACAACTAAAATAATTTTTTTTATATTATTTTTATTAAATAAATTTTTGGCTGACCATAGACCTGTTTCGAGTATTGCCAAATGTCCATCATTAGTTTCAGTTTTAGAAATAATTCTTAGATTTAATAATTCGTAAATAATTTTTTGAGACTGAAAGTACCAAGAATCAATATCGTGCCCTGTTAAATTTGAAGTTCAGAGTTGACGCTTGGATTTAGAAATAATTTCTTTAAAATTTAATTTAATGAATATTGATTAAAAACTCGATGAAATCATATAAATTATATAAATTTAAAATTAGGTCAGTTTCAGCAAACAATTACCCGGAATTTTTTTTTTCTAAAACGGTACGAATCACAAATGAAGTACATGATATGGGCATATTAGCTTTTAAATTTTTTTCAAATTATTTCTTTTGATTTTTTTCTTCCAACACTTTGTTTCCATTTGGTGTTTGTTTTTAGAATTGCTAAAAAAAGATCAACTTCTAGTTTACCGCATTGTTATTGGTTTCTGTATATTTTGATAAGATCACACCTATTATTACATTGTTCGATTTAGTTATTGTCGTTTGAAACATATACCCTGGAAATCAAATTTATAAAAGCATGTTAAAATTTATAGAATAGTTTGAAATTGGATAGGAAATATGATGGAGTTTAAGATATGAGTATGGGATCAGAGTCATAAAGAGTATGTTTATGTTCTATAATCACTTGTTTTCACAAATGACTCTTCCAAGAAAAGGAAAAGCTGGTATATATTTTTCCAGTCCAGTTGATACAATTAGAAGGATAAAATTTTTCACAATTGTGGTTTAGTTACATCTTATAGGTAAGACAAAAATAAACTCGAATTATGTTTGTAGGTCAGTTATAATCAAAAAAACTAATCATTGATTTAAGAATTAATTTGTTTTGTATATAATTTCCTCTATCGACTTTGTGATACAAATTTTAATATTTGCACATATTTTAAATTTTAATGATAAACTAGCAATTCAATTATTATTTGAATTGTTTTGAAGTTCGAATATTTTATCGCACGAGTATATTTTTCCTTTGCCATTTAATACAGCGTACTATTCTAACATGTTTCAACACAAATTTCGAACATTTGTTGTTTTAAGGTGCATCCACACCAAAGTGAACGCATACGAACGAACGATATTTTGCAGATACGATTATCTGAGAATGTTCGTTCGTTCGCAGCGTTCACTTTAGTGTGGATGGATCTTTATGTATTTGTGTAAAACAAACCAAAAAGAAAAAAAAACGTAAAGCAAATTGGCTGTTTCGAGTAGTTCGATCATTTTCGCGCCCCTCGAACATTTTCGAAAATTTAAAAGATTTGATCTAAATGTTGAAAATTGAATATACTCTAACAGTGGGTACACCTCATTATTCAATCACTTGAAGTATTCATATAGACTTGTCTTCTTTTACAATAGCTCTGTTCCACGAGCTACTCGTAGTAACTTTGAGTAACACTGTGTATACAGAAGCGCATTCCACCAGTAAATTTTCGAGTTGAAACTGAAAAATGCTGCACATACTTAAAGGCTCAGTTAGACGGTAGGTAACGTAAGAAATTAATTTAAAGCGAAATGCACAACCAACCAAACCTGCGTAATTGATAAGAGCGAAATAAACAAAAACGGTGTACTTTGTTTATTTCGTTCCTATCAAATACGAAGGTTTGGTTGGTTGTGCATTTCGCTTTGAATTAATTTCTTACGTTATCTACCGTCTAACTAAGCCTTTACTCGTACATTTTATTTCAAGTAAAAATTGTGTTGATGTAAAAATCAGCTGTTTTGGTTTGAATTTAAATTTTTGTATTGTTTATTTGCGCAGCACTAGTGTTCTCAATAGACTATACACAAAGCTGTTCCATGAAAATCTGTGTAAAGAGCGTAATATGGCACTTTATTTGTGTTACGCTCTCAGTTTGTACTTCACTTGTTTCTTAAGGCTCAGTTAGACAATACGTAACGTAATAAATTAATTCAATGCGAAATACACAACCAACTAAACCTGCGTAGTTGATAGGAACGAAATAAACACAGTTCACAGTTTTTAGTTATTTCGTTCTCATAGGAACACACAAGTTTGAGTGGTTGCGCACTTCGCTTTGAATTAATTTCTTGCGTTACCCACCGTCGAAAGGCTCAGTTAGACTGTAGGTAACGTAAGAAATTAATTCAAAGCGAAATGCACAACTAACTAAACATGCGTATTTGATTGATTGTGCATTTCGCTTTGAATTAATTTCTTGCTTTAATTTTTGAGTCGTTACTTCGAAAATGTTTAAATGCGGTTATTTTTATTTTTAAAATATACTAACTTTTATTTCGAAAGTTTTTTTGTGTATCTCTACACGTGTTTCGGCAAATTCGCTTTTGCCTTCATCAGGAGAATTCCTAATATTAGGAATTCAAAGTAAACTTTCATAATATTTATATTACTTGGCATCTACGCTAATTAGACTTTGATAAATTTGTTTAATTTGGAATACAAGTACAAATTATTTTCAAACATTTTGTGCACACATAAAGTTATAGACGTTAGGGTTTTCAAAAAACTTGCCAACGTTTAACCAGTGTATACGAAGTGTTAAATTAGGTCTGTTTCACGAGCTACTTAAGTTGTAAAACTCAAGTAAAGGCTAAGTTAGACGGTGGGTAACGCAAGAAATTAAATGCGGTTATTTTTGTTTTTTAAAATATACTAACTTTTATTTCGAAAGTTTTTTTGTGTATTTCTACACGTGTTTCGGCAAATTCGCTTTTGCCTTCATCAGGAGAATTCCTTGAAAACAAATTTATCAAAATCTAATTAGCGTAGATGCCAAGTAATATAAATATTATGAAAGTTTACTTTGAAAACTATAAGAGTCTATAATCTTGCAAAGTTTAACTAGTGTAAACGCTGTTAAATGTGATCGTAACACTTTTTTTAATATTGTATCAACTAAAAATGCAAAATATTAAATTTATTATTATTTAAAATTTATTATTATTTTAAATAGATTCAATAAATATACTAATTTATTTCGTTTTATGCTCATATATTTTGTATATTACCATATTATTGCATTACAATTATACGCACATTTATTTTATATTTAATTTAAATAATTTTTAATTTTAGAAATAAATTTTTAATTTAAATATTAGCGTGAAATTATTCTGACGGCAAATTTTTTACAATATTTTTTTTTGTGTATGTTTTGATTTTTATTATGGTTTTTTATTTTTGAATATTATTTTTTTTTTTAGAAAAAAAAACTATTTAATCAATTTTAAGATGTTTAAATTTTTTAAAAAAATACGGTTTTTTTTAAATTTTTTTTTTTTTTTGTTATTTGGATTTGTGATTTTTATATTTTATTTTCATATATATTTGAAAAGAAGCACTTGCAAGACATAAATATTATTTTATTACATATATTTATTTATATTTATATTTTGTAAGCTGACTTATTGTTATGTGTTACAATTTGCATGTAACATTGTTACATGATTTGTTTAGGTAATGAGTTAGACTTTATTAAGGCACTAGTTACACGTTATTTTTAGCTATTGAATTTTGAATTTGTAAACTTAGGGAATGTTTCCGACTTTATATTGAAGCGACATATAGTATATAGAATTAACCTATGAAAAGTTTTAGGTTCGGAATCAATAGCTCACTGTCTGACAGTTTCGTTTCCCTCATTAACGTGTAACTACTGACTATATGCGTACATATATGTTTAAAAAATAGTTATTTTAAAAATATATATTCATATATATAAATATATGTATATATATATGTATATCTAAATCTTTTTTTGATTTTTATTATATACTTTATTTTTATACTATATATATTTAACTGAGTGTTTGTGAGTGTGATTATTTAAAGCTTAATTTAGCGTATTTTTTTGTTAATTTATCAGGATTTTAGCTTTTGCACATCTTAAGGGTAATTAGTTAATTTACTAAGACAGTAAAGCATTATTAGCAATACTAAACATACTTAAATTAAATGAATTATTACTTTAACTTAAAACTAATAAACTTTCTTATATATTTGCTTAATTTGCTTAATTAAATATTTTTTAATATTCCACAGAAATTTAGAAGTAGACAATTAATTACTGGCTCACGTATGAATTTATATATTTTATTTTAGAATTATGATCCAGCGTTTTAAGCAATAAATGCTCCAATTTAAATTTTAAAATAAATAATATAATAAAAAAAGTTTATTTTAAAATTATTCAACTATTTTCTAAGCATATTGGCGGAGCTCTATTACATTTTTAATTATTGTTTTAGAAATAAATTTTTCAACTTAGAACTTTATAAAAATATAGAAATTATTATATATAAAATTTAAAAAGCTGGTTTAAGTTATAGAAGTAACTATAGTTGCTAGAGAATTATTCATTGCAATTTGTTTGGTAGAGCAGTAATAATTGTGGCATAATTTTTCACAATAGATGGCGCTTCAAAATTTTAATATTTTAATGGCAGTATAGTTGTTCAGTAATATAAACTCCACATTAGAAAAAGTTTTTAAAATTAAAGACTATATCTTTCGTTCTGTTTATAATTTTTTTCTATTGTATTCAAGCTCTTCTCTAACTGTCTACTTCCGATATCGGTGGCTCTGTTAACAGTACTCATTAAAGCTACGAATGGTCTTTATTATATTAAATACTGCTCTGTTGGTGCCGGATTCATCTTAACTTGTGTGTGTATATTGGTTTTTATGTTAACTGAAGTGTGTGCATAGAATTTTTAAAAAAATTTTTTTTTAAATAGGATATAAAATTAAAAAAATAATAACACAAATTTTATTTAAAAAATTATTAAGATAATAATAATAAAGATATATGTTCACAAAAAAAAAACTAGTTTTTGGGCAACTATATAGATGATTTTTTGGTTTCATTTAACCAAAAAAACAGCATGATGTCCCAAAAAAATTATTTGATTATAAATATAAATTTTAGTAGTCATACATACTATATTTTCTTATTATTTTGCACAAAGCATGACAATATCCAACGCACGATTTTGTCCAACTTACTTCAGTAGTCCAATTCCGGAACCACTGCATATTATTGACAATAGTTGGTATCTTCTATATTCTATAGAAATTTACTACAATAAAAGTCAACAGACACTTCATTGAGTGATTGTGGTTTAATAGTGTGTTTGATATTAAGTTATAGTCAGTGGCTACAGTAACTGACAACCTTTACAGTAGGTTGGGTACTAAGTTATAGTCACTAGCTTCAGTATCTGCTAACTTTTACTATAGTCAATGATTTTTGTAGCTACTTTAATCAGCTTCTGCAGTTAAATCGTGCATTGGAATATAATTTATAATTTAATTCAAATATAATTTAACGAATTTAGAAATATTTAATTTAAGCGGTGACATAACAAATATTTTTGTTTATAAAACATTAAATTTTTTTATATAAATATTTTTATGTATGAACTTAGACAATTATCTTTATTAATTTTAGTTTTTAACAAAATAAAATAAAATTTATATAAATAGAAGATAATCAAATAAGCAACCCAAGTAATTGTTATATAAATTTAATAATTTTACTAAGCAGTTGTTAATTTATTATTTTATAATGTAAAAAAATAAAACTCATATATATATTTTAATAAACATCTCGAAGGATAGTATTATTTCAACTACATTAAATTAACAAAAAAATTATAAATATTCTGTAGCTATTTATTTATATAATAATTAAAAATAATAATAAATTATAAAATTTTAAACCAAACAGAATTTAAATATACTGTTTATGTTTATTAATTATTAAATCGTATTAAAAAATTAAAACTCTTATCATAGTGTTAAAATCATATTAAAATGTTAAATTGGTTTACTATAAATTAATTTAATAACTAAATACTAATTTATTTAGTGTGATTATTTGACAATAAACTAAATTAGTTGTCATAGGATTAAAATAATTTTTAAATAAAGTGAAGATTTATTTTTAATTTATTTTAATAATTTATTTAAATAAACTCAATAGCTGAAAATTTATTTATTAAATACAATTATTTTATAATAAACGTTTGGAAAATGTTTAGGATTAATAAAATAAATTCTTTAATAAGAATAATTATTTCTTAGGTCGTTAATTTTACACAAAAAAATTAAAAATGTTTTCTTAATTAAAAAATAACATTAATTTGTGTTAAATATTTAATTATATTTTTATTTCTATAAAAAATTATTTATATTACAAATATTATCGTCTACTTCGTTGACGATTTTCAGATTGTACAATCCAATCTAATGTAATATTTATTTAAAAAAAAACATTTTTAAGTTTTATGTGTTAAATTAACGATCTAAGCCCAGTAATAATTAAAAAAATGACAAAAAGTGAAATAAGAAATTAATTAATGGATTATACTAATATACAAAAATTTTAATCAAATTATTCAATTTTATTATTTAACTTAGCAGGGTTTGATAGCGGTTATTTAATAATTAAAAATGATCAGAATTAATAAAATAATTGAAAATTCCTTCAATTAAAATCGTTAAAATTTTAGTACATATAAACTAAAAGTGTGATAAGAAATCAGTTAATTGAATATTGTAAATACACAAAAAATTTAATTAAATTAATGAATTTAATTATTTCATTTAATAGAGTTTTAAATCCATTATTTAACAATAAAAAATTAATAAATAAAAACGCAACTATTTCAATTGAATTACTGTAAACCCAGTTAAATTAAGTAATAATGTTTTAGAATTAAATACGGCTATGTAAATTTAATAACTTTAAATCCGGTTAAATTAAGAAATAATAATAAATTTAAAAAATCAACATTTATATTTTTTATAATTAACATTTTCATAACATATTTTTAAATTAATTTATTGATGTGATATTAAACCAGTTAGTGAATTATTTTTAAATATATGTATCTTGAGTTTTCAATTAAAATTACTTATAATTAATTATATTAAAGTATTTCAAATTTCGAACTGGTATTTTTAAAGTTCGAAATTTAAAAAAAATACACATATAAGGAATTTTGTTTTGTCATCATTGACTTTTAAAATTGAATTTCATAATCGTAATTTTAATTTGTTTTGCATTTTTTTCTTTTAATATGAAAATATTTAATATTATGTAATTAAATTAATTTTTATTTCTTTTAAATGTTAACTTCAATAAATTTAAAAGTAGGCCAAAAGCTCATAATATTGTAAAAATAATTTTGTATATTTGCCTAAGTAAAATTCTTTATAAAATCGCACAATTAAAATGACATAAAAATTAATTAAAAATTTATTATAGGTTAACTAATAATTTTAGGCAGCACTTTTGTTTATTATATGAAATTAATTTTAATATTAATTTAAAAATCTTATCATAAAAATGATCAAATAATAAAATAGTTATTTAAAATAATATGTTTTAATAATAACAATATACTTTGCAATTTACTTGGAATTAGTGCAAAAAAAAAAAATAAAATAAAACATTTTCATTTTAGTTATAAAAATTAATTAAATAAATAAAAATATTAAATATAAATAAAAAGTTGAGATTTTATTTTAATGTGTACTATTTGGATTAATTTTGTCATGTTTGTATTATTTATCTGATCTTAGGGAACTATTTGCACCAACTTATATTGAATTACTTGATATTCAAGCATTTAGCTATATATAAAATAAATAATTTTCTAATAATATTTATGTAATTGTTTGCATAGAGAGTTAATTTACACACACACATCTTATAGATCTTCGGTTACATAAGTGAGTGAGTAGTGTAGTTCGTAGGTTGCTAGTTAATGCCTAACCTATAAATACAATATATTATATAATAAATTTTATCATATATAGACTTGCATTTTGATTTCATATTTTTTTTTGTGTTTTTTAATTTTATAATTGTAATGTATTGCTTACAAATTCTCTTTGTATATATATATATATGTTTATATATATATACATATATATGGGTATATATATATATATATACTGATATATTATGTATATGATGTCTTGAGAATGAATTCAATTGGGAAATTATGCAACTATATTGGAAACTACAAATAATTGGAACCAGTGCACTTGGGCCTCAACTGTATAAATTTAACTAATTATTTCTATTTAATAAAGTTTGGAAAATTCACTACATAAGTGTAAATCCATATATATCTATAAATGTTTCACTTTGTATGCTTTTATGTAAATGTATATGACTTGTGATATTGATATATGATGCATTTAATGTTTTATATTTAAAACTATGACTTTATTGTTTTTGGTATTAATGATATTAATGATACAATGATGTAGTGATTGATCTCATCATTTTTATATCATTTAAAGAATAGAAATTTTGTTAAGTAGTTTACGGCAGTTTTTAATTTAATATATATAAATTTTTAAAATTTTGTATATATAACATTTTATTTGTGAAAATTTTACACACATGGTCAATGAACACAAATCGCAAAGGAAGTTTATCACTGTACAAGTATTGAGTATATATCCTCATGCATTTAATACATTTTTAAATGATTTGTTTTAATTAATTTATTTTTTTTTTGTTTTTTGTCTTTATATTTAAAATTAATATTTAAACTTAATTTATTCGGGCGTATTTAATTAAGAGAGAGTTACTTTTTATCTTAGGTTGTGTCAATGTGATGTTTTAAAATTTTGATATATCGATTAAATAATAAAAAATAATACAAAAAGAGATTTAATCGTATATAAAAGAGTTTACGTAAAATTAAATTGAAAATAATTAAATAAATTTTATATAAAAAAAATTTTTGTACAATTAAAACTAATTGGAATGTAAACAAATTCGTAAAATACAAATTGCTACTAAACAGGGTGTGTCATTTAAAATTTAAAAGACACTTTTTTGCTAAAGAACTTGCACCATCACACAAAGTTACAAATCTTAAATATATAAATAATATATATATGTTTATGTATATTTAACTAGTTTAACACACCCTGTAGTTTGCAAATTAATTTACACATGAATATATAAAAGTTAAAATAATACAATTATGATAAAAAATTTAACGTAATTACAAACAAACATAAATTAAGTTAAAAGTATTAAGGCAAGGCAATTACTAATTAAATTCATATTTTGTATATAAGAAGAGAGAGTAGTAAGTGATTATTTTATAAATAGTTGAACATACAAAGATAGTATGTATATATTTATATATTCAATAAACGTTGTGATTGTGGCTGTGGCGATGGTTTTGGCGATAGCAATTGCGATGTGGTGGCTGTGGATTTTGTTTTATGAAATTGTAGTGGTCTTAAAATTTCGTTCAATTTTTACATAATTTGGTACTTTAGTATAGAAACTTTGCTATTGCTAACATAAATATGTTTGCTAACAGTATGTAGATGTTTTCTTGTATCTGATAGCTACCTCCGATACCTCCAACAACAACATCCTTTTCCTCAAGTAATGGATAATCTATAACATGTATAATTCCATTTGTGCATTCCACATCTGGTCGGTAAACGTTTATCTTTTTATAGTTCCAAATGATCACATAGCCTGTAAAAATTTAAATATATTTATAGTAAAATTCTTATTAAGAAAAATATTCTATCAGGTCTAAAATTTCTCTACTAAAACTATTGTGAAATTAAAAGATTTGTGAACACAAAATTTTGAATTGCTGTTCTTAAATAACTTAAATGATAGGTTTTAATGCTTATGATATATGTAGGTATATAAGTGTGATTTGTGATGAATTCGAATTTCAAACGAACGAATCACTCACCGGTCCATTCATGTGAAGCATATTCATCATGAAGATCTTAGCATAATGAAAATTAAAGCAAAAATAATATAATTTGTCAGTAATTTACATAAAACGTTTAACAGTTTGCACTATAAGTGACTGATAATAATTATTAATATTAATATTTTTCCTTTAAAACAATATTAAAGAATGACACAATTCGGATGAAGACATATATTTTGAAGAACTCGTTTCAAAACCCCATATGTCATTATAACTTTGTTTTTGAAACACAAGAAGTTTTTACTTACAGTCAACTTTAAAGAACTGAATATTGATTATGTACATTATAATAATAAAATAGTAATAAATAAATAATAAAATAATAATAAATAATGAAATAATAATTTTTTTTTTTTGTTTTTTTAAATTTATTTTCTTATATTGCGATCTGTCAATTCGGAATAGACAATAAACAATATTTAAAGTGACTAAATACTTAAAATTTTTGTGAGCTTGAAGGGACTGTGCTCAGTAGTACATCCGTCTGTTGGTAACATAATAATAAAAAAATAAAATAATAATAAAATAATATTATATAATAAAATAATATAAAAGATAAATAAAAATAAAATAAAAATAATAAATAATAATAAAATTATATTAAAAAGTTTTAAATTTTCATAAATGTAAGAGTTTTCAATAAAGTATTTAGAATAACATCGATTAACATGGGGTTATAGATTATAGAAGGATAAAATGATATTCTTCTGCAGTAAAAGCAGACACACCTAAACATCTGTTGTGTTACTGTTAAGGGCTAAGCATATGGTTGATCTATTCTTTAACACGCTCTATAATATCAACATAGTACACAATTAAATACTTGTGCTCGGTTGGTTGTAACGACTTTCTCCACTATTTTTTTTATTTTTAAAATTATAAAAAATATTGACTCAAAAAAGCATAATCGCTAACTGAAAAAACTTCTTTTCATATTATCTACCTATCTATAATAAAAATTTAAATTTATACCTAATATTAATATCAGTCACTTAATTACTGTACATGCTGTGATTTTTTATAACAAAATCAATTTTTACTACAATTTCCTATTTAATATTGAGCTAGTCATTCTCATGCAATCGGCAAACTGCTATTAAATATCTGACTATATACTTAAACTCAAATATTGTATTTAACACTTACGACCCGCTTCCTCTTCAACTTTAACTTTAAGAGAATCTCTAAATGTTGGCAGCACAATAGAATCACTCTCAGCGGTCATTGCAACTAAGTCTTTCATAGTAAATGCCCGATCCGCAATTACAAGGTGACGTTCCAATATGGACTTGGACTGTAAAAAGAAATATTTTTTTACCATAATTAAAAAAATAAAAATAAATAACTGTATATATAAAGTCTTACATGATAAGCAAAATCTTTCATAAATAGTTTCTTATGTGCAGATGGTAAATCGATTTCAGTCTTCTGCCAGCCCTTATCACGTGGCACGAAGTAAGTAAATCTGCGCTGAGTATTGTTCAACTGTTCGTTAAAGTTTGAAAACTGGCCGAGCTTAAAGGTATCACTACAAAATTAGAAGGGATATAGAAAATCATTTATTTTAAATATAAAGAAAAAAAATAATTCAATTTAAAATTTATTGGTGTTTTTCGAATTCGAATTTTTCGAATGCGTTAGGAATTAAACATATTTTTTTCGAACATTGTTCGAACATTGTTCGAACATTTTCGAATGACTCGCTCTGTTAAAGTTATGTGCTCCAGCATATTCGAACAATTAAATGATCGTAACTTCAAACAGTTTGAAAATCATTGGTAGCTTTGATTAATATACATAAAACGAATGACTGTAAGTGCCTACCTCAACATTGGATCACTTTCGATTTTACCAAACACAGTGGTATAGGGTACTCCCAGCACTTTGTCTATGATATGAACATAGCCATTGGTTTGTGTTACATCGGCTTGCACTAAAGTAGCATTAACTCCACCGCCTTCAACAGTTATCGTTTGATTTGAGCCCTCACCGTTTATGTTGAAATACAAAAATGTTTTGTTGTCTACAGTAGGTACTTGTGCAATCTAAACATAAATAATTAATAATAAATATTGTATATAATTATGGTTCATGGTAGTATGAGTACAAACCATATTTTGATTCTTTTGGCGTATCTTCTCCACATTCAAACGTTCTTTAATGATGTGCATATTTATAATTTGTCGCATTTTCTCACGATTCCTGAGAAAAAAATAAAAAATACTTTTTTAAAATATAATATATTTAATTTTAAAAGTATTTAATTAATAATTTAATTTACTGATATCAAAAAAAAAACTTGTATTCTTGTGGAGTAACGTTAGCATGATTTTCTCAGTATTACGTTCCTAGATTAGGTTCTACACATAAGAAAGAATATATAAATCATGCAACAAATAATGCCTCTACAAACGGAATAGTATTGAAATTTAACAACTAAAAAATAAAAATATAATTAATTAATTCAATTATTCTACAGCTGGTTTATGATTTCGTTCTAATATAAATACAGCAAGAAAATTTGTTAATAAAACTTTCGCAGCAAAGTAACAAAACTCCAGAAAAATGTGCGAACATAAAAGTCAAGTACGGCTTTGGGTCAGTTGATTAAAGTGCGCTGACTCTGAGCTTCAAATTTGACAGCACCCGAGTTCGATTCCTGTTACTTGCGGTCTCAAAAAATTATTTACGAATAATTAAATACAAGATCATGATGGGTATTTATGATCAGCCAAAAATTCAATTAATTAAAATAATATAAAAATAAATTTTTGTTGTTGTATTTCACCACTGTTCGAAAAAAACTCTTTAAAAAAACAATATTAAAAAAAATATTTAATTACCTTATAATATTGTTAAGAGAGGATGCGTTCCAGGCATCATTGCTAGGTGCTAGTATTGTAACTTCTCCCATATTATTAATATCATCCAAAACCTCACCGCCGATGTCCATGATGACCTCATAGAATTTGCGTAAAGCACCATTTTCGTTGTCCTAATCGAAAATCGAGAATATTTCATCAAAAAAATGATAATTATAAAAAACAATCAAAAAGCTTATAAGCATAAGAACAAAACCTCAAAACGAGCATAAAATAATTATAATAATTTTAATAATAAAATATTTTTATGCAAATTTTTTACATTTGTGCATACACAGCGAAACATAAAAGTGTGGCGAAATGAGGACGAAATGTACTTTCCGAATTATTGCCAAATAAAAAATGTTAAGTTAGTTTTTGTTTTTTTTGGTGAGGTGATGTTTGTTCTAGAAGTGGTGGACGCGTCTATGATCAAATGTTTTGCGTGATTATGTTTGTTTGTTGCTGTTTCATAGGCTGCCCTTAATAAAATATAAGTTCATAATTTTGCTATCTAGTGAGTCCAATTATTTTAAAAAGCCGCATTTAAGCCCGGTTTAAGTTCGGTTAATTATAATAATCGGTAAATATATATGTATCCCAAAAAATAATATTTCTAATTTGATGCAATAGTATGTACGTATATACTTATATAAAATATAGTAATTTGTGATTATTAATCAATTATCAATCAAGCAAGAAGTAACATTATAGGTATGTCGTGAAAGATACTTACGTCCATTAACTAAAATTTTTGTTGTCGAGTGTTTAACAAATGCGAATTTCAAATGTTAGAAACAGCAAAGTCGTTAAATTCCATCGAGAAGAGTTTTTGTTGCCATGTTAAAAATAATCAATGGAAAATGTTTTAGTGTCGAACATTTTCTATTTTAGGTTAAGATATCGTTATATTGTATTTGGATTAAAATTTATGTGAATGATAGCCAATATGGTTCAAATCTATTTGTACTTTCATTTTATACAAAGAGTAATGAATGCAGAATTTTAGTTTATTTATTCTTTTAAGGTACAAGCTCTTCTCAAAGTTAACTTTATGCCTTCAACAAAAGCGAGGAATGTGAAAAGAAACTATTTAATGAGGAAATGGATTAATGTTAGTATCTATGAGAAAACTAATCACTACTGCAGAAAGGGTGCAAAACCTAACCATTTTCTTATTATTTAAACGGCAATAATGGTCTCAAAAGTTACGATATGAAAATAGTTAATAAAAAATAAATTAAATTAGTTTGATTCATAGGGTCTATAACCTCTCGAGGTCTAAAACCGATCTACATTAAACTTTATTTAACTTGGTCTATGACCTTTCTAGGTCTAAAACCTATCTAGGTTTTAAGTTAAAGCATAGAGTCATTCTTAAGTAAAGGATAGATCAGTTTTATAATAAAGTAGTTGAAGCGGTTCTTTTGTAAAAGCAAAGTGGCTTTTTTAACAAAAGACATTAAGCCTTTCTTAGGTAATATACATAAAGTTTTCTATTAGTAAAGAAATATGCCTTTTCGCAATAAATGTGTATAGTTGACTTCAAGACTTTCTTAAGGAAACATATTTAGCATTTCTTAACAAAACACTTTTACCTTATTTTAAATAAAGTCATAGAGCCTTTCTTAAGAAAAAGGATAGAGCCTTGCTTATTTCATGACGTTCAGTCGTTCTTGAGGCATAGAGACTTTCTCGCTATATTCCTAAGGCATAGAGACACTTAAAAGTTTTTCTTAAGTGAAGTCATGGAGCCTTTCTTAAGTATAGAGTATAGAGCAGGTCTTCAGTGAGGGTATATAGCCTTTCCTAAATGATGACATAAATCGTTTCTAAAGTAAAAGTATATAATCTTTCTTAAGTAAATGCATATAGCCTTTCTTAACTAATGGCATACAGCCTTTTATAGGTAAAGGCTTAGAAACAATGTTGAGTGAAAATATAAATTTATTAAAGTAAAAGCACTACTATAATTGTTTATGTTTTAAATATTATATATATATATATATATATATAGATATTGCTACTATTTATTTTTTTTATTACCGGTTGTAAAGTACATATATAACATATATAAGATAATCTGTATATATATGGATGTAGTATATATATAGATATATTGCTACTATTTATTTTTTTTATTACTGGTTGTAAAGTACATATATAAAATAATCTGTATGGATGTAGTATATATATTGTGTAGAAATTATGTGGAATTATTAGTTAAAACATTAAAAAATCAAAAATAAATTCTATTTATTTGTCCCTCTTAAAGTAGACCTATCTTCCATATATTTTCGTTGGCTTATCGAGGTATAGTTGTTATCACCTTCAGCGAATTTTCTTTTATGGTCGTAACTGACCCAAAATGTCATTATCAAGGTGGTGATTTTTATTTGAGGTACAAAAAATGTATTGGCGCTACGTCACGCCTCTTGTAACAAAGAATTGCCACTACTTCTACTACTACATCACTACATGCAGAACGCTTTGTGGCATTTCTCAATTACCACAACGCGTTCTCAATCGGATATGAGTTTTCTCAATTTTTCATAAAGCTGTACTCTTATTTCAATAAGAGTTTAGTACAGAATGTACAAATTTTATACATATCAGTTAAGAATTAAATATAGTTGCCATATAATCTGCCAATTCGGTTCAATGTTTTTATTTGATTCGCTTTTGTCTAAAAACAAATTTTTAAACTTAATAAAACCAATGTAATAAAATTGGAGTTTATTAATTTAGATCTAGATATAGTTAGCATAGAAACTGGCGATTTAGGAATATGTTTTTCTTAGAAAAAGTTTCGTTTGAAAACAACTTAGTGCAACCTGTGCAATAAATATGGATCTGGTTGATTTAGATCTAGATTTCAATAGTTCATATACATATAAACCGCCGATTTAAATATGCTTCTCTTGAAAAATTTTTCAATTGTTCAATGTATTTCCTTTTTATTTAGAATTTAGAGAATATTCCTGGTAAGAGTGGTAGCGATCTGTTCAGATGCGGATATAGTTGCCTTACAAACTTATATCTCTGATTCATTTCATTGTATATTATGTGCCCTTCCATCCAAAAGCTCTTTCAACAAGAACAAAAAATTTATAGTAGCTCTTATAAATATTATTATATATTATATTATAAACATGTTATTACATATTATATTATATGTATATATTATTATAAAATGTGGTCTTTATTAATATTACTTTATATTGCATTATAAACAAGTTATTTAATATTATTATATATTATATTATAAACATGTTATTACATATTATATTATATGTATATGGTATATTATTATAAAATGAGATCTTTATTAATATTTCTATATACTGTATTATAAAAAAGTTGTTATATGTAATATTATATATAACATCAGATCTTTATTAATATTATTATATATTATTTAATATAAACATGTTGTTACATATCATATTATACAAATATTATCATAAAATGAGCAAAGCCAACGTTTTTTTACATTATGTATACAATTTTAATATGTTTAATAATAGATATCTAGATCTAGGATGGATTTAGTTTTTATCTCTTTGAGTTTTTTGTGAGGAATATGACAGTACCGATACAAATCATCGGTAATTAAGGGAAGTGGAAGAATATCTGCTAACTTATCATTGCAATTAACCATTAATTAATCATTTAGTAAATTTTAAGTTTAATGCATTATCCTCAGAATTATTTTTAAAAGTTTATTTAAAAAAATTAACTTCATGTTAAATTTGATATGTTGTCTTCGAAAAGTGAAATACATTTTTCATGCGCATTTTTTAGAGTTGAAATAAGTTTTTATTAATTTATAATTAAATGATGCTAATAAGCTATATTATTTTCATATTTCATGCAAATTTTTTCGACGATAAATAAAAAGGTACGGGTAGACGGGTAGTGGTGGCATGAGTAGATCGAATAGAAGAAATGAAATTTTTACTTTTATTTGGGAAGGATATGCCTAAGACGGTGGTCTGAACATGCTTTGAGAGTTCGATTTTATTAGCTAGAAAAAGTATTTTAAGTGAAATTTTGAATGTAGAAAGTGTGTAAATATTTGTTGTCATATATTTTAATTACCTTAAACGACTACATAATTTATACAAAAATTATAGTTGTTGAAAAGTCCAGTTCGCATTCGTACAAAACATTTATGAAAAATTACATAAAGAGAATTATGTCAATCATTAAATCGCAACAATGATTTATGTATGAAAAGCAATATATGATATGAATATGAGCTAATGTTTATCTAATGAATTAATCCAAAAAACTATAATTAAGCAAAATTGATAGGCAAATTAAAAAAATTGTGGCCAATTGAAGCCGAATTCGGTTTGTCCAATATTTGATTGATCTGTGTAACGTACTAAAGTGAAAAAAAATATTTTCAATAAAATATAATTAATTATAAAAATAATAGATAATGTGTTCGTTTACCCACTTTGTGCCAAGTACAAATTTTAGGTTTCCCCAAAACATAAAACGGAACTCAAATTATTTTTGCATAATTTTTGAAAAACGTCAGAATAATTGTTAAACTTTTTATGTGCTGTATGCGATGCAGTTTTTCAAGGCGCACAGTTCAAAGCCTTTGGACTTATATAGATAATTTAATTTGGAATTTTCTATAATTTTGAAAATACGAGTATTTTGCATGTAATTCGAATAGGTTGACTCGAATTGGTTGTTTAACGAATTATTCTCTAAGTGCAGATTGTTTGCCATTGGCTTGAACTGTTTCAAATGAGAACTATGATTTTAAAAAAGAACATTCAACTTTTAACAATTACAACGTTTAATTGTTTAATTAATACTTACATTACACCCAAAATTTTTTTAAAATAAAATTTATATTTTAAAATTTATTTTAAAATAAAACTTTGCTTTTGATTTTACATTGAACTGAATTTAATAATATCAACGATTTTTGAATTCAGCTCAAGTTAAAATCAGTCTTCGGGTTTTTATTTAATTTAATTTTTTTTTGTCTTCTAACTTCTGTTACATGTGGAATTTTTTATTTGTGGAAAAGCAATTATTTTTAGAAAATTAAACAATAAAATTAATGCTAAACAATAATAGTAAAATTGGTGCTGGGTTATATATATTTTTGTATATTAGATAATTCCTGCTTTGACCATATGAGAATACTTTTGCAAGTTAATGATTCTGAGCTACGCAAAATGCTTCAATAAATTCAGATAGAGTCAAAGCATTTCTCCTTTAGTCTTTAGTGTCTATGTGTAAACCATAACCGCTTTGTATTTACATAAAAATAATAGTTAATTATTAAAATTAATATATATTTAATTATACATTTATTTAATAAAATAAAAATATATTTATACGCCCTGCCTTGAAGTAAAGGGATTTACTATGAGATATAGCAAAAGATTAAAACTTTAACTTTAATAAAGGACTCGATATAAAACATATATATACTCGATATATTACCAATAACTAATAAAGTTTTCTATTTATACAAGTTTCAGTTCATATCTATAAATCCTGAAACAAAAATATCTGCACTTCAGTACTTAATTATTAAGAAATTATAATATTTTAAGCTTATAATTATTAGACTTGTCAGCTAAATTGTAATAAATTAATCAAAAATTTTTGTATATGTTGTTCCTCTATTACTATTCGAACCCTTCTAGTTTTCTTTTCGTCATTAGAGGCATTACATTCGACAAAAGAAATCTAACTTATAATATTTTAATTTTAAAATAAAGTTTGTATAATTAAAATATTTATATATTAGAAGTAATACTTAGTTCACTTTTTTAATTCTTTATAATTAATAAAATGCTAAAGTGAAAAATAAAATAATATGTTATGGATTAATATTTATATATTAATTTAATATTCATAGATTTTATTTTAAAATAATTTTTATATATTAATTAAATAAAAATATAAACAATTGTTATAATTTTACTAACTTAATTGATTCTTATATTTTTGAATACTAAAATGAAACTTAAAATAATATTAAAATGTAATTTATTTTCAAAAAAATAATTCATTTACAGTGAAAACTCCTATAATGGACAATACTCTTGATTATTTAATCTATTATGCACCTGAGTTTGATATACTATTGTTATAAAACTACGATACTTTTTAGAAGCAGAATTTTGAAAAAATATACTACCTTTTATATATCTATATTCCGAAGAAAATGTTTAATGTTATATAATAACGTAATAGTTTTCTCTAGTACAGAAGTCATGCCTATGAATTTTCCTATAGACATATGTTGACTTATTAAAGGTATTTAATAATTAATTTATTTTAAATCATATTAAAAAAATAAAGGGAAAAATTAATTGAATATATATTGAATTTGTTTAATATTATTAAAAATAATCTATAAACAAAAATTGGCGTTCTTTTCGCCAACAACCAGCAGAGTTCGTCGATTGAATTAAATTAATTAAAGTATAAATATAAAATATATTATTAAAATTAACACACTGAAGATGATCTGCGAGGTACATTAAAATATTTGTTTAAAATTATTTATAATTAAAATAAAAACAAATCAATACATATAAAAAAAATTTTTCACATTACTTTTCAATAAAAAAAAAAATTTATTTTCAGCCTGGTAAAAGAAATTATATATAAAAAAATATTAAAATAAATTCCAAATATAAATAAATTTTACATTATTTTTTTTTTCAAACTTAAAAAAAAAAAATAAAGAGAAAATACGTATAAAATACTACTTAAGCGTCTCTTATTCCAAATAATAAAAAAAATATACATAAAATACTTATAAAAAATATATCATATAATATTTATATTGTAAATCAACATAGCATATATGAAATAAAAATAAAAGACAAAAGCTATTTACATAAAAATTTGTTTAATTAATTTCTAAAAAAAATTGCGAGCACAAAAGCTTATAAAACTTAGAAGCTTACACATCACCTTAACATTTCTAGCCCAACAATATTAAAGTTACTTAATAGAATAAAAAATAAAAATGTGAAATTTAAATCCTGAATTTTATATATATATTATTTTAACATATATATATATACATTAATAATTTAAAATTTTTTTTTTAAATTTTACTTTAAAGCGGCGGCTTATTTATTCTACAGCATTTGAACTAAATATGATTTATAAAATATTGCATAAAAAATTAATTAGTGTAATTGTTTTAGTATATATTGTGCTTCAGAAAAAATAAAAAGAAATAAAAAAAATTATAAAATAAACTTTAAATATTGTTGGTGTAAACGCTGCACACATGTTTCATTCTGTGACTAAATTAGTTAACTTGTTTGCTCTCTAAATAACTATATATCGGATTTAAACAATATTCTTTACCTGTAAGAACTGAGCTACGGTAGTGTCAATAACCATAAGTGGACGATGTATCAAATGTACAACGCCATTCCGTACTGGTATATTAGCTTTCACTATTTCAGCCAAAACAACACCGGAAGCATGTTTTCCATCACCGATTATTGTATTCGATTTAGCATAAACTAGAATTAATATATAAATTTTATAAAAACTGTTAAGTAAATTATATATAACATATTCTGTGTAAAAAATATCCAGACTCGTTCAATATACAAAAAAAAATAAACAATTTCAATCAACAAATTTATTTTATCGCCTTTAAGTTAGATCTAATCAGGTGCAATATAACTACAACAGAGGATCAACTACAGGTTCCAAGAACGGTCAGGTCTATGACCAAGTCAATACCCCCTAAAGGGATTTTACAAGCGAGTTACAACAACAACAACATCAACTATATTATTGAATATATTTATCAATTCCCCATACACTTTTAGTAAGCTGACTCAAGTATCACCCTCAATTCCCTCCATTAAATCTTTTATAGCCGCAAAAGACTTTACATGTGATTCTCGGAATTTTTATTTTAGCTTTAATAACCTAAAAAAGGCACCGAACTATTCTATATATAGTATAGTGCTTGGGTGTTGTTAATAGAAAAGAAGTTGTGTTGGATAGGAAAAAGATGAAAGTGGGGGTGTTTGCCAATTGAAACTAGTCTGCACCAAAGTGAAGGAAATTAATACAGATTTTTTTTTGTATAACTACACATCGTCTTTTATTCCTACAAATTTTAGGTAAAGGCATGTTAAGAACATTGTTAGATGGCAGTTAACTTTCGTTTATTTCAAACCTAACTGATATTGGCTCCGTAATAAGTATAATAGTGTCAATGTGTTCATATACAAAGAAAGTATATATTTACACACTTCCCACCCCTTTCGAAATCCATTATTGATCACAAATAATCCGCTACTCTTTCACACCCTATTTTTTTAATCATATCCTAACCCATGTATGGGTATTTGTAATTCCTTTCATGTTATATTAGATATGTTGTTGTTGTAAATAGTGGAGATCTGGTGGCACTTGGTGGTGTTCGAAGTTGACAAGTGGCTCCGGGACGTAGAACTGTCCGCTGTTCGACCTTTATGTGTTGTGTAGATATCTCCTGCGAAACAACAACAACATCTCAACACACTGAGAAACTGATCACGTACAAATTGTTATTGTATTATTATAGTATTACTAAAAACTTATATAAAACCAATTTGCAGTGGTATTGTTACTTTTTACGGTTACTTTTTACACAGAATGTACTAAAGTATAGTGTACCTTTGCCATTGGATTCATAAAAACTGACGGTTACTTTAAGATTATCCTCAAAAGCGGCAGTGGTTTGTGGAGTTTCCATTTGGGCAGCAGATGTAAAAATCACATTATTAAGTATGACATGTCCATCGATAACCTTATTATCCACTAAACTGCTACGTGTGGTTTGCTGTAAATTTAGATATTCAGTATTATTAAAATATAATATGCTCTATGCTCTTATTAAGAGCGTTGTCTTTACCCAATGTATTGTAGATAAATACATTGTAAATAAAGCAAGGAAATAATAATAATATTAAAATATGACACATCTTGAAGGTGATTACCTTAAATCCTTCATCGACAGGTATTAGAAAAGTGTGATAACCTGGTGATTGATATAAGCTTTCCTTACGCATAACAGTGACTTGAGAACGATAGGTTCTATAATTAAATAAAAATTGTATGTAAGAAATTAATTATTTATAACAATAAGGTATTATGCGTATACCTTAAACGATTCTCTCCAATGTTCAGCAAATCGGCTTGTTGCAAAAATTGAAAAGCATCCGGATTGATGATATCTGTTTTGGTTGTTGATAGCGTAGTCAATGGTACCAAGACCTCATCAATTACATGCATAACCTAGAATTAAGAAAATTTTGTAGATCAGATTCGTTTTGAAAGAAAAAAGTAAATTAATGATTAAAGACCACCTCTTAAGAGGTTGCATTTTGTTCAATACTAACCTGACGTTTTCCGGCTGCATTTGAGAGCACCACACTCAAGGAAGGAATTATGCGTGCATTATTGATATAAACATCACCATTACGATTTTTTGTAACGTACAATGGAGGATTACCGTCCATATCTGTAATAATTGTCTTACTCAGCTGGTCCTGACTCATGGCGACCGTTGCTAAAATAATTTAATTAAAAATATTTAATTTTAGGATTAAAATGAAAGCAGCTTATGGCACATATGGACTGTAGTTGGGAGGGACATATGTTAAATTTTTTTTATTTTTATTTAATTAGTTTCATATCTTACCTATATGATATAACACATGTGTGTTGCCATGATGCCTTTGAAATGCTTCATTTGTGGGCACGAATAAAGTGCAAGAACGTAACGATAATGTATAGTTTGCCACTACATTTTGCTCCAATAAACTGTAAAACTGTAATGAAGAGGGAAATAATATAATTAGTATTACACATTACGAATATATTTGCAAGCAATTTTTCAATACATAAAAATGCTGCGAAATAAATTATTAAATTCGAATAAAATTTTTTTTAATAAATATGAATGAAATTAATTCATTTAAATAAAGTGTATTTATTGTTTATTATGAAAAATAAAAAAATTAATTTTTTTTGCCAAAATAATTGCTTTCATATATATATACTATATATATATAACAAAAAAAGGTCACGTCTGTTGAAACAATGATCAGCGTATCTCCTTTATTCGGAACGTTACGTTAATTAGCACATATTTTTGAGATACAAGTATTTGTCATATTTTCATATTTTTATTTAAACTCAAATGGTTGATTCATTTTTGTAGGACAATATTCACATATGTATAAATATCTACTACTCGTATATAATACGATAAAAATAAATTATTAAATAGTAACATATGTCAAAAATTGCTTGGCTTATGAAAGAATTTTCATAATCTACTTCACAATCAGACAGAATGCTAGTATCTCTGGTACCCCACGTAAATGCATTGCTTACTAAGCACTTAAATGATTTCGTTTGAGGGATGCGACAAATGAAAGATAAGTGAATTTTATGCCAAAATGGACTACTGCATATTGCCCTTTTGGAAAAGCAGCTTACTTAAAAAAAAAAAAAGAAGTACATATTTTTCATGGAACTATTCAATTTCAATAAGAGAAAGAAGAACAAATTCTTGATAAAATTTAAATGAAATAAATTCATGAAAATATATAGTATTTTATGTAACCCCTTTCCGTTTTTCTGGTTATGCATAATCCTAAGATTAAATACCATAAGATTTTGTAAAGTTTTCTGATTATCAGAATTTAATTTTCCATAACTAAGTGATAATTCCTTAAAAGGAGTATAAAAAAATTTTTAAATATAAAATTATCTTTTCAATTTCGCTGATTAAATAAAGATTTATGTGGTTAGATAAGCGAAACATAGAAGACCACCTTCCACAGATCAAACGAATTAACTTCTACTACGATTCTGGTCCAAGTTAAAATACACATTTATCTAGATGTGGTGAATTTAATAAAAGAAGGATTTTAATATACGATAAAAACGTTTTCAGTAGTTTTTTAGTATATAATTTGTTGCTATACAGTGGAAATGGAATGAAATAGACAGTGGAATACAAAAGACTATCCCACTATACCTATGTGAATGAAATACTCTTTCGAGTCAAAAAGGAATATATACCAATAGGTAAGTCACGTAGGTATATAACAAAACTATGCTTTGAATCCACAAGAGAATAGTTAAACCAATTCTACTATATGGAACCGAAATTTGTCGAAAAGCTGACAAGAAACTTAAAAAAATTACAGTGATATATGTAAAATGCTTAATCGAAAAACTAGGTGGGATAGAATAAGAAACGGTTATAATAATTTTAATTGCGGCAAATGTGATTGTCTTTTTTTGATTTTTATTAGATAGCTGCTGAAAATGGAAATAGATGTAAATACTCCAAGTACTGGTTCAATAAGGTCATAAGAAACGTCAAGTCTCAGCACATAAGAACTGTGTGGTCGATTAGTAGTTTAGGTAAGCTTATTATTAATAATCAATTAGATTGATCAACTGACGTAGATCCAACGGGAAATAAGTTGAAATTATTTAAGAAAATATTGGTTGTTATATATAAGACACTGGAATACAGGATGACAAGAAGCCACAGTGACCTTGTGAGCCGAAATTCTTTTAAATAGTGTTAACGGCGCTCGCAGTAAAAACACGAACATCTGTTATATTCTTGTTTAGGCTTATCCATATCCAGGTTTAAAGTTTATGGGCGCTCTATTCTTCAATTTTCTCAGCGATAACTTGCATTCATCAATGCGTCCAATTGATTCAGATATGCACAGCCTTCTACCAAAAATTACGAAGAATGTGAAATCAAAATAGTTTTAAAAAGCTAATTGAGTATTCGATATTCCTACTACTTTACCTACTTATATGAACCCAACGGTTCTACCTTAAAACGGGACCTTAATTTCTTGTTAGTTAGGAAATTATTTTCTACCCAAAGAAATGGCACAAAGTGTTTAATCTTGACACTGAAAACTTCCATAAAAAAGTAAATTAAGTAAGGAAACTAAAGACATAAAAAGCTCATTTTGATTCTAGCTAGTGTTGGGAAGCTGCAAAAGAATTGTTTGAGTATATCTTTTTCCTTTTTAGCCGTATAAATTCTACAATATTTATAACAGCGATTTCTAAATCTTTTCATGAGCGTGTCTGTTTAGTCAGGATCTTGATGTCAGCTTTTATTTCACTAAATAAGTTGGGCTAGGTTATACTGGCGATCCTTAGGGCATTCACATAGGCCTATTGGCCAATTGTGTTACCGTATATAGAGGAAAACTCAGGTTTTAAAACTAAATAGAACCTTTGACAAAGATCAAAGTTATTTAGTGGCAGGTCTTCTAATTGAACAAGATCCTCAAGGGGTTCCTAAAGTGTTGAATCACCGCCGTGCATGTGCTGGGCAAAGACAGAGCAGATAAGAGGAACTCTAATCTTTCACCCAGCTGCGACAGGTATGAGTGAAGGGTACATTCAATCTTCTAGCATGGTGCCCTAGTAGTTCATTAAATAAGTTCCTTTTCTCCTATCAGTCAGTAAGAAATCGAATTCAAGAGAAATAAAAACAAAAATAAGCAAGGAAAACGACAAACAGTTACCGATAGAGAAAAGTGTTTGTAGAATATTTCTAAAAGCACTGGTCTTATGCTTATAAATAATATGTCTACTATTCCTTCTGATAATAAATGTAAAAACTATTTAAGAGCAATAAGAATACAAAGTTGAAGAAGGGAGTCGATGAATGAAAACCGAATGGAGAGAAGTGATTGGAAAAGCATTCTAACAAAGAAGATGCCTATGGATGGCTATTGCCATCCTTTTAAAAAAGGAAAAACATTAGATTATAGGTTGTCTTTTTTTATATTTCAAGTTATTTTAGTGTATGACAACATTAACTGTCGATTACGGTATTATATTAGTAAGACTTTGATTTAGTCAATAGATAAATATATTTAATTATTTTTATTCTATGCATATAAACTGCATATAAATTTATTTTTATTGTGTTTGTTTTAATTCTATATCAATACAGTATAAAAGAAATCAAGCTATGTATTTATGTATGTTTAGAAAGTATTTTAATTAGTTTACAGTACATTGAGTCACTATTTACTATGGAGGAAACCATTGTAAGCGTACGCCACTGCCTTTGACACAAAAAATTTGCAAAGAGGGTTGAGGTGTTATGAAACTAGTAAGAAACTAAAATGTTTCATTTATTGAATAAATAAAAAGTGGCTTTTAAGAATCACCAACAAATATGCAAATTGCTATAGTAACAGACAACAAAAGAACATAGAAACAACAGCTATCAGCTACCAGCTACCAACTACCAACTAATAGCTAACAGCCAAGAACCAAGTATTTCATATTCTGTTCGATTTTTGAGTTTATTGAACTAAAAATTACATAATGCAGAAATAAGAGCAAACAATTTTTACACAGTTTTGCTTTCAACGAATGTTTTGAATGAATTCCAGTCGTACTTGCACCAACAAAACTTTCGACTGAATCACACCCAATACTGAGTACAGTACAAACAAAAATCGTTAATTATATAAATTGATATGTATTAAGCATTTATCAGGACGTTTTATCTTGGTCGACACATGTGCGATGCATTATAAAGTGCAACCGAAAGTTGTCCTTTACTATAAGTCCATGTATTTCATTTTTTTCCGACCCACCCTAACCCACACACACCTGTATTTATTTACTTTTCTTACGACTGTCAATAAAAACGTTCGAAATTGCACCCCCGTTTTTGCTATCAATGGTCTTGGATCACATAAACTGTACTTTTTTACCTAAATTGCATTGTTTTTTTGTATCAATTAAGCAAACCATTGAATGGACTCTGTCTCCGAATCCGAGTAAGGGTAATTTTATTCGTATGATAGGGGCTACGTACGGACGGATATGCGCCCGGTAACAATGAGTCATGCCAACTCGCATTAGATAATAAAACTAGTGAAACCACAAATTGGTATGATTATTTTTAGAAAATCAAGAAACGTTAAAATAGAAGAGAAAGTTGTCAGGACATTGTTTGTGCCAAGTCACGAGACAGATTTGCTGTGAAATGCATTCAGTTTTTATTACATTGATGTGTTAAGTTAATATAAGCAATAATCTTCTTTATTTACATTTTGATATCATTTATTTATAAACTTTTCATTGCTATTAAAGAAGATTACTATATACAGGGTGTTGTTTTAAAATAAAACAGCTAAAACTTTTTTTTAGATTTATTTAAGGCATATATGTGCAAATTTGAACACCGTTTTTCTTGTAGACAACTGGATCTCTATTAATAACAATACAGGGTCATGTTTTCATAGGTTGTTTTTAAATATAACGGCACCGAAACAGTTGAGATCACTGTGCAACAAAAAAGAAGTTTCATTTTCTTTTTTCCGATCCTACAACCTTTAATTTGAGGCTACTAGGTTCAAATCTATTCTTCTACACTCTGAGTCTTTGTCAATAACTGGTACTTTTCAAATATTTTAAGGGATTCAAAATAAAACAAATAATTTATTTAATTTAAGAGTTAAGAAATGCATGTCTTTTTGCTATAAATAAAATAGATAAGAATCTTTAACTTACCATAATTCTTCTTTTTCCCTCTCGAAAAGAGAGAGTGTCAAAAAAACTATGTGAAGAATTTTTTTTCTTCTGAGAGAAGAAGAATAATTTGAAAGGAATTTGTCTAATATAAAATGTTTATTTTTTTTAAGAAGTTTATTGAATATACGTAATTTGTCTCTTGGAATAAAAAATTTTCTGTCAATCCTTTGACATATCAAATTTTGAGGCCTTGCTTGCTATTGCCAGATATCAGGATGTC